TTGTCAATGGATCCAATGCATATCACATTTGCAAAATTTATACATATGTTACCTTGTCCCCTTAAACTGAAAAAAGTAATGTTTATGTGATTTTTATTATTATTATTTCAAAGCCCGCCTCAGTAACGTGTACTACGTATTAGCCGCATGTTAACGCAAAGGAAAATCTACCAATCACAATATGCACAAGTGACATTGAAGTGCTCAGCATCTCCGTAATTCGTGTGTGCCGCTATCCATTGCCACGTTCGTGCACGATCCCTAGTGTAACGACAGAAGATAAAGGACAGGCAACAGATCGTTTATTGAGAAAATCAACAGATATTTATGTACATTATTAATAGCGTTGTTAGCAGAGAAGCAACGTCTTCTGATTGGTTGTTTTCTTGCTGAAGGTTATTGTGTATTGCTTGTGTCCGTTTCTCAGAAAGTTAAATCATATATCTGCGAATCGTATTTGCACACGTTAAGCCCTCTGTGACTGGTTGTTGAGTTCCTCTAGGTTAAGCCTTGCTATTATTTTTCTCATGACCCTGATTCGGGACATAACATTGACGTGAATTGTTGTCTACAATTTTGACTTGCAGACAGCTCTCACCACACTAGGTAGTTAAGCAGTCATCTTCGCGCTACGATTTTAGTCCTGAAATACACTTTGTATTTTGGACGACCAGTTCAGTGTTTTAATTTGTCTTTGATCTATGTGGAACAATGAACCATAGTAGTTGTGGGTGTAAGAACTTGCGCTAGTATACGTCGTACTTCACGTGAAAGTCAACACTCCCTCGTCTCCCAGATGTTTTGTGACAAGAATATTGAAAACTTTATTGTCGTAAAAACGCAAGTTTAATAAAACATGGCGAGTTTGGCGTAGTCTCATTCTGTGAGCTGGGTGGTTTAGTTGCGAAGTTGGCAACATTCGCTGAAGATGCCATCTAGTAGGAAAAGCTTCCCAACTAATTCGTCCAGCTCAGAGAACACAACCACACTAAAATCATCCATCTGAGCAATGAATCTTCCCCATCCTTCCTACATATGGCAATGCTTCCATAAAACTAAAGTGGCACGGAAGTAGCTTACGAATTTTAATCTATTATCAAAATACATGAGCAGGGAAGCCGAGTTCTATTCCCAGGTGAAACATATATAAACCTTGACTGTTTTACAAAGCTGCAAAAGATTAGAGACTGTGTGTGAGAGATAAACCACCCAAACCGTAAAAACCGCTACTGATTTGTTGGTACGGGGTAGATGACTCTGAAAGCTTCGTTTACATTTAAAAACACCAATATTGTCAATGACAACTATTCCACAATATTCTATATATATAAAGATGAATATAATTGTAGAGCCAGAAGAGGAAATTATCAAAAAGGATATTCTTTGTTCAATTTTCATTTTTAAATGTCTGAATGAATATTTTCGCTTTATGTTCAGTTCGGAAGGCAAGGAGTTAAGAAAAATGGAGTAAGTCCTGTGTGTAAATACTGGTGGTGCTGTCGATTAGCCACACTTTACCAGTCCTAACTTAACGGAATCTACTTACGTACCCAATATTTCAGTACTCTACCTAACCTGTAAGTACTGACGACAAAACGTAAATTAAAGGACTTGGTTATTAAGGAAATATGCTCAGGTTTGCCGTATATTTTAGTAAAATTAAAGATAAAGATTATCCAAGGAAAAGGTCTAGAACTTATCTAACGGATATGGCTTTATTACAAATTCAAGGAACGTGCGTATTGACAGTACAACGGAAAAGCGCAAAGTGGCGCTGGAGCCAGTTCATATAAGTACAAATTAAAAAAGCCTTTAAACATTTGAATGTGCACTACACATGAATGCCCGTATGAAGCTCATTCAAGCAAAACATTGTTTTTGCAAAATTATTATTTCTAAAGCGTGAGACGAAAATTTTTTGAATGTTTTTATAATTTATATCTTCCTACATACCTGCTGTAGTGTTTAAAATAATTAAAAGATTGTGCTTAGAAAGCCAAACTAGGAGTAAGTTATTCTGAAGAAATACACACTAACCCAATAACAGATGGAAAAACTACTCTCTTATGTTGATATTTTGAAGGTAGACCATCCGAAACACAACATTTTCAAGACTAGGGGTATAAGTCACGTCGCTATTCCAATTAAGGAAATGCCTCACTTCCCCACACCCCCAAAAAGCAACTCCTGAATCTCCCCAAATATGAATGAGTAATAAGTCGTGGAATTATAAGTTTAGTAGCATACGAACACAATCTAATTCATTTGAATGATCTGACAATATGTTTTCTAATGTCGGTTATCTTCAACTATCCTATTGTTGTTCTTACTTTGTTTTGCCTCCTGCATCATAGAGGTTTCCATTAGTTTTGCTAAGTGCCACTTTTCATTTATACACTCGCGTTCCCAACTTTGTGTGTATACTGTACATGGCCGTAGGTTATCTGATCAGCTGATTCTCACTTCCTGTTTCATAACATTCTTTGCTGTTTACTGTTGACATAAAATTCCTTTACATGCATCCGTTCAATAACAATTTGCGGAAATATTTTTAAATCATATTGAGGTAATATACAGGTTTTTAACGTTATGGACGTAGGGTTTGCAAACAGTTGCAATATCCAATTTTTCTGAGTCAAAAATATAGACTGACGTAATCACACATTAGCGTAACCGATTTGTAGCATTTTAACTCACTTATTATCATATTGGTAACAATAATTTATACACCCTTTGTACTTGTGACTCCAATTTTTAGGGATTCGCTACTTTCAGCGAATTCACGGGGTTTCTTCACTAAAGAAAGTCATTTCTACAGTGTCATGGATTTTGTATCCTGTTGCATCATTAGTAAATGTATTTCTTATTCTTCGCTTGGTTGTTATACTTGGAGAGACCGAATATTAAATTAACGAATTAGTCAGCTACAGAGTTTAGGAGATTAGGGTCATTTCTTATATCGACTGGTATCTTTATTAGCTAGAAATTTTAGATAAGAAACACTTATACTGCCGTCAATATGCAGTGGTTATATATTAATTATTAGTAATTATTATCAATATCGCCATTTTGAGAGGAGAACACATAACAAAGAAAATTTGTGCAACAACGAAAGGGTAGAATAATTTATTCGTTCGCTATACGTTACCCTAATTAAGAGCGGAATATTGCTGCTGCAACTGCAATGTCAAAGTGACCAATCACAAGCAACAATATCAGTTGTTTATCTCACAGACGGGTGGGTACATTAGGATCCATCGACAGGTTACGGTGAGGTTTATGACTTACAGTTATAACTACGCTTATCGCAGCATTTCTATGTTCAAATAATGACATAAGTAATATATTATTTAGACATTTGACATTAAATTATGAATTCGCAAACTATTTACGAGGTATTTACTTGGAAAGCTTCTAAATTTTCCTAGTCTGTGACCGTAAATGCTGCTTCATAATCATATCTAAGCTTTTAAGTCAAACACAAAGTTGTATTTTCATTTTGTGTATAACCAAACCAAGTTGACTTTTAACAATTTGAAAAAACTTAAGCTTTGGGTGTATGATATTCATTATAACAAAGGTTTTTGTATCTCCCAATGAATAGAAAACAAAACGATAGTGTTTTTACGCTATTTAATGCTAACAGCTCTATCAGAATATTATTAAACAAGAATTTACAAAATCTCAGCTTATATGTAACAAATTAATCATCGTTCCTTAACATGGAGTCGTTTTTGTGTTGTCAAGTCGGCCAACTGGTATAGATAAAAAAAACCGAGTGTTGATTGTTGGGCACTTTTTTGATAGGGTTGTGTCTGATTCTAGCAAACTGAAAATGATATCAAGAATGAATGCAATTTTTCATGTTTATATGCTGCTATATGTGGCCTATTGCATCAGGAATTCCTCGTTTTTACTTGTGTCCAAATGGCGCTCATTTAAGCTGGGGATATTTCTATGTTATGCGATATTATGGCTCAGTTGACATATTTCGGTTAGTTTCCTCCAAAACTTATTCATGAACTTTGTGATACCAACACTAAGCAGAACTTAAACATACACTGACTGGTTTCGGTTTTACAAGGCAATATAAAATGTAGTTTCCAAGTGAAAAAGTGGTTTCAAATGTGTCTGCTACATAATGTCCGTTTCACAGAGCCATATAACTGTGTCATTTGCTACTCTGAATAAACAGATCTCTGATTACTAACCCCAACAATGGGTGGTAATGGTGTTTTAAGGATTTCATCTATTAGGTTTACTAAGTCACCTCTGACAAATGTTACAAATGGAGTTTGTACTGGCTGTCAACTTGGAGAGAGAAAATTTTAATAAATTCTCTACAGGATATGGTTATATATATATATATATATATATATATATATATGGTATAATGCCTCCTACTTAGTTTTTCGGCATAAGACTTAGATAGTTTGTGAGAATTGGCCTCATAGTGCAGAAATGATATCTATGAATTGTTAGACTAAAATGAAACACTGAATTAGTTGAGTAATTATTAATTTGAGACACATTTGCCTCGTTGTCTTACTAGGCACATTAACGATTGCAATAGGAATTATGCTTAGGAAACGAAGACCAAGTACAACGTAGAATAAACTTATAAGTTTCCACATTGGTTAAATATCATCTAACTAGTTCGGGAAAAAGAAATCAGTATGCAAATAGCATTGTCTAACGCAACTGTTCTAGTATAACGTCAGACAGAAACCTATTAGCACGACAAAGTAGGAACAAGACAATCGTAGAAAATAAAATACACTGCGGAATCAGCCTTGTTGAGGCTGATAGTATTTTGCAAGGATATTACACAATACACAAGATGACAGGTGAACTAGATTTCGGACAGGTTATCCCAATATTTGCAGCTTTCACTGTATCTAGTACACCTACCTAACCGCCGACTACAGTGACGATATACACGAAACAATAACAATTTTCAATGTAAATCATACGCGAGGAAGAAAGCATTCAGCTAAATGTGAGAATAGATTTTTGTCTTATATTCCGTAAAAAGAAAAAAAGCAGATTCTTTAGCAGAAATCCAATGCTGAAATTTGAACAGAAAATAATATATAAGACGCGTTAATGGATAAGTTTAAAGCTCCAGGAAAATAAAGTTGACGCTATATAAAGAAAAAGAAAAAATTATTTCCAAAACAAACAAATACTACTACTTTTAACTGAAACAAAACAATACATTGAACTATTAGCAAAAAAAGAAAGAGGGAGACACTAAATAGAATATAGTATATACCACTATTGATTACTTATTTTTTATTGATGGCCATATAGACCTAGACAAAATTACTTTTAAGTATATACAAGTGCATTTATCCTTTGAAGAGTTTCGTCAAATACGTTAAGGTGTACATCAAGGTAAGCTGATATGAAAACAGAGAGAAAAGGACGAAAAGGTAACAGTGCTAAATAAGGAAACTGATCCGTCGTTGTATTTGATTTATGAAGACAGTAAAACTAATTTATATATATATATATATATGTTCTTCAACTTGAAGACTTTAATAATAGTAATAAAAGAATAAATTATAGATTATTATAGAAAAAAAACCGAAAAAAATATACTGATATAAAAATTCTATTTGAGTTTGAAGCCATTTATACATTCCACCATGAATACATAAATACTCGGTCTACATTATTACAATAGAAATAAAGGCTAGCAAGACAGAAATATACTTCGACAGAGAAAAAACACCCAACTGGTAAGATTATTTTTATACACAAATAAGGAAGCCTTATAAAAAAAGACAACAAAAAACAAACAAAAAAACTATTTGTCTTCACTTTTTAGCATACATGTATATCATACTCATTATATAAGTGCACTTCACTTCTCTGAGTGGATAGATGTACTTTCCTACAAAAAATGTAGATAGAAATAGGCAATGAAAGCAAAATAATTTCATTTTTCTATACTGACCACTTTTAAAAAAATGCGCAACCAAAAAAAATTTGAAATGACTGCCCATCCAAGTACTACTGGAGGAAGGAACAAGGCAAAGCATTAATAGACTAGATTTGAAATCATGAAGCTTATTAACACACAGAGTTCACTCAGCACTTACTAATCACATAACATGATACAGGTTAGCACTGAGAGGTAGAACGATGTGTGTAAATAAGTTTTATTAGTAATGACAATCCATAAAACTTACTGATAGTAGAAACAATGGCAATTAAGAGTGATGTAGGTTATTAAAAAAAAATATAAAAGCAGATGCATATTTTGAGGTGGCAAGGTCTCATAAATAAGCTACAATAAGTACATCTACAGTTGTTTGCTTATTGCCAAAATAGACTTCAAGTCTAATGGGAAAATGCATGCATTAGCTTCTCATTCTTACAGACACTATTGCATAAGTGCATGTACTCGACACTACGATATTTACCTTTATCGATTTGAGAAAGATATTAGCCACTGTCAACAGACACACTACATATTTTACTTCTTTACGTTCTCAGTGGAACATAGGGTTTCAAGCTAGAGCTTTGCAGTTTCGGTAGCTATGGTGTTTATTTTTACGGGGTGGGGTTGCTAACCTAATGCCCAAATTTCCCTCTTTACCAGTCTTATTACTGGCTTAACGAGGTAAATGAGTGCTTCGACTGGGAATCGAACCCTGAACCATATCCGTGGTTGGCGAGCATTCTACCGCCGCCACCGACGCTCTAGGGGTTATCCACTAGACCGCTTGGATCAAAAAAACTGCTCCCCTATTTTTGAGCAAAGAACTTTCATATTTACTTGTAGTTAACAAGTAAATGCAATCGATAACGACTTAAACTCTGCAGACAGGAAGGTAAAGGGACCTTTAACATGCTTAAATGCAGATGCTTGCTTTATGATCAATTTGCGTTTACTTTCAATAGATTTAATTCAAGCCACTGTGACCCAATTAAAAGGCCCATAAACTTGCCTTGTAACCGAAAAGTCATGGGTTAGAACTCCGGTGGGTGCATACTAATGGGGAGTTCTAAACTAGGACGAAACAACTACCCAGTACTCCATGCTTTCCAATGGTTCCCTAACTAACATCAATCAATGGTTAAACTTATATTTATTTGTAGTGTAACTATGATCAGTAAGGTTGCTTAACATGCCTATAACTTCAAGTACCTAAAAGATTGTATTAATTTGTGACCTTCAATAACAATCATTAACTTACGCTACCCACAAACCTGTTAAATTGTTCTTACACTTACAAAAATGTAGTGATTTTCAGTTGGTCACAATAAGTGTTAGACATTGCTGCCATTTTACTGTCAAATTCCATGAAGTCAGTGGGAAAGTTACCCCAACGCGAGGGTATGACTTTTACTCAGAAATACACCATTCTAAAAAATTGTGAATCGAAAAAAATTGTACCCTACGTATTTTCGGTATTTGCATGCGTACATATAAATGAACAAAGAATGTGGTAGATGTAATTCAACCAAAAAATAGCATGGATAGACAAATGGTTACATTTTCTAAAATGTTGGATTTAGTATTTAAGATCTGTTTGCAATATAACTAACTCATAGCACATAATCTCATTCATCTTTATTTCATTATATATCTGTCCCTTTTAAAGAGCGATAACTTGAAATGATGCACTTCTGTGTAACATTCTGTTGACTCTAACATTGGTCGGTTAGGATTTCGATGAGGATCTTAGATTTAACCACTAATCATTACTCCAAATAATCTAGTCGAAAATACCTTTCAATAAACTTGTTATACTAATAAAGCACACATATTTCATGAACCAACGAATCTATAAAAACAAAAGTTCTATTTATCACTAAAGTATAAAAATAATGATATTAGAAGACAGTATTGGCGGTCTGGAAACTCGTTAAAATCAAACCACTAAAGTACCATAACTATTTACCAAAAAACACTGAACAGCCGGGAATACAAATGTCACTTGCAAATTCGTAGAGGGTTACGTGGATTAACATGGGTGCAAGTGAAAAGTACAGCACAAGACAGAAGCAAGTGGAGGCGTGCAGTTGAAGCCCTATGTTCCACTAGGAACCCAAGGGAACAATAATAATAATAATACGTGGAAATAAAGTTCAGCTTACCAATAATATTTAAAAATTCATGAATCGGGATCCCCTGAATTTGAAGATTTTGACAGGTCTGTACAAATATTAGAACGTCGGAGAACAGGAGTAACAAATGAATCTATTGATAGATGAATGAAAACGGTGATAAGAGTACGACAACAAGTATTGTGGAAAACAAAACAGAAGATGATAAAAGTATTTCTTTCAATTTCAAACAAGGAATTTTCAGCTTGGTTAACGCTTTTTAATTATTTATATGCCTGTAGATACATAAAGTATTGATAATTATTACTGACAAACATAATTCCTTTCAATAAGAATATGATATAACTGCATGTAGACATATACATGTAAGTAGGAAGATAAAAATCTGTACTCATTTAAATGAACACACTGGAATTTATTTTACATAATTAAGCAAAACGTAGGAAATCGTCTTCATGAGTGAAACTTAGCGTAGAAAATAATCATTTCAGAGTTCACGATTTAATGCTCAGAGACTGTGAATTATGTAACCATGCATTTATTCAAATGACTTCTTGGAAAAATACAATACAATAGATCATTACCTATTTAATTATATATGTAATGTTCACTTTAATGCTACTATTTCCCACCAATGACATGTATAATTTAACCTGCCTTCATTCCATACTATGATAACTAAGTTGCTTGGAACAAGTCGTGAGCCGCACTTATCATATAGGTGCTGATAATACTATCCAGTCGTTTTGGCTGAATTAAGCAAAGCAAGATTCGAATTAGGGACCCATTGATTGCCAGTGAGCTACATCTCCACTCTATAGCAGTAGCGTGATTTATCCTCACTTTCCGAGTGAAGGAACAATGAGTAGTATACTGGTAGATGAAACAGTGCATAAATTTACACATTCTCATACACTATATCACCTACTAATAAGAAATGATGACAAAACTAGGGAATATACAAAAATTTGCAAGCTGTACATCTCAATTTTAAGGATAATACTGCTTATGCACGAACAGAAAACCCAGTGTCAATTGACTACGAACAACTGAATATATTTTAGTGTCAAACATGTTGATTTATTAGTAGTTACCGGAAACTTTAGATATGACATATCATCTCTGCAATAGACCTTAAAAAAAATAAAGGCTCAGAGAAGCTTTTGTATGATGAGAATGTTCTAAAGTAAGTCAACAAAGCCCATGGCCCCCATTAAACAGTTTTATCATATAAACACTAATACTGATGCGTTAGAAACGTAATAAACTAAGAGGGAAAATTCACTATGAGATTAGACAACTGAGTTTTACTTGGTAAAAACAATAGAATATACATTAAAGAGATAAGCCAAAGAATTAATCGGTTTTGTATTTTGAATATAATATTGTCACTTACTATCTGTTAGTCCTGGCAACTGATAGCCGATTGGCTTACGTGAAGATGGAGTTTGAGTTGGAAGTAATTGTGAATCAGTAAAACTTTCAATCTGCAATTTTGAATGATGTAGAGTAGACTGATTTTTGTTCAGAGAACAGTGAAACATAAATGAATTGAGTGGTAGAGGTCGAGGAGAATTGGAAGTAAAATTTGAAGACCTAGCCTCAAAAAAGTTATTGTTATTTGAATCTGAAAGAAGTAAGTAAAAAAAAAGTGTGGATAGAATTCAGAGCAAAAGTATTCACAAAAGATTATCCAAAAAAATGACAGAACCTTGAATAACTGAGTACTAGTCACAATTACTTCACATAAATCAAAAATAAGAAAAAGTACAAACACGTGCATTTGATTTTTTTATCGATGATAAAATGAACTTTTGAATTTCCCTAATGAATAGAGTGCTTAAAGAATGTTTCAGCAATGAATTTCATTTATTTTCAAGTATTGTCCAGTACTTCCAGGTTTTCCAGTGGTTCTCTAACTGATGTCAACTCATGATGAAATCCTCCATGCAATTTCATTTATCCAGAACTATTTTTGAGTATTTTATATTTACACTTTTATTTAAACTGAAATTGAAAAATATTTATGTAGAAAATGGATCAAATTAAACCACCGAAAATATCTATTCAGTCATGAAGAAAATAAAAGACAATTCAGCGAAGAAAATTTTCTTTACCGACGAAATCATTTTCAGAGACTATACAGTCGTATTTATATTTACCAAAAATGTATAGTAGTCTATTACTGAGTAATAGGGGGTGACATAATTGATATAATTACCCAGAAGTGGCTTTGGGGCGTAAGGTGTCGGCATTTGTGTATGGCAGAGGCGTTGGCAATTCGTCAATACAACCCCGAACTGAGTATACAGAAAAAGTTTGTCCAGTCTCTTATTCTACCATGGTCTTAACCTCTTGACTAAGTCGTTCCCTATAAAAAAATTATTTTTTATTTTACTTTTAGTTTGCTTTTACTTTAATAATTAATTCACTATTATCACTGTTATATGTTCCTTTTGTACATTTTCTCACCCTCTTCACACTTGTTAAATGGGCACTCAACTACCTATCTTACCACTAAATAACAATTTTAACCTTATCAAATTACTGACTCTTTCTTCCTTTGTGTCGTTGAGCATTACGTAATTTAAACTTTCATTTTTACTTATAAAGCCACTTCTGGGTAATTATATCAATTATGTCACCCGTTATTACTCAGTAATGGACTACCATACATTTTTGGTAAATATAAATACGACTGTATAGTCTCTGAAAATGATTTCGTCAATAAAGAAAATTTTCTTTTCTGAATTGTCGCTTATTTTCTTCATGGATCAAATTACTCGAGTAACAGAACGACTATTCCGTTAATCAAGATGGATTATTCAAACTATGCTAATCAAGGGATTTGACATGAACACTCTAGGATATTTACACCTCCAGAGAATAAATCACATATTCTTCACTATTTATTATAAGTAAATACTTTATATCGAACCACTGAAATGTTGTGTCAATATAATTTCATATCTGGGCAAAATGTCCAGAATTGATAAAGCATACGATTATATTTTTCCATACTTCAGAACTTTAAGCTACTCACTATAGTCTGTAGCATACTTTGGAAAACAAATGACAACCGTCATACTCATGAATCTGGGAAAATTACTAACAGACAACAAATGTATGTTGCTCAACGTATCAGTCATTTAGGGAAATGCATAAACCTATAATTATGACCAACAGAATTCACCATCATCTGTATATCTGGAAGCACAACGAAAGTTTTAGAGGAATAAAGTTCCACTGTTTTACACAGTTTTAAAGTACTCGTTCAGAAATTCAATTCAACTAACTATCGTCATCTAACCTACTTCTATCACCAAATAGTAATACATGAATATATTCTATAATGATGAGGTAAATTAAACACATCCAAGGTAACTAACAGGATAATTGCATAATGTGAAAACAGTGATAATAAATCACGTGAAGTTTTAGAAACTTTACTATCGCTATGTTGTGATAGTTCTAAACAAATCAGTCACCATGTGGACATTTTAAAGATATGAAAATTATATTTTCAAAAATGAAAGTTATATTTTCGTAGCAACCTTAAGTAGTATTACTAAACTTCCACTGAAATCACAAAAAGGCATTTCTTAGAAGGAGATACATCGACATAACATTGTTAATCTATGCATAACGTATAGATAAGAATGATAGACAGAACGAAATCGTAAATATCACAACACAAAGGATATCAACATTAACTAGACCACCAATCTATACTAACCCAAATAAGACGAGTAAAAATCAGAAAGGTCTGATGATATTTTTAAAAAATGTATCGTAAAGATAACATACAGAGACCTAATTGCTTTTTTTTAAAGGATAACACAGTGTTCTGGTTAACGCTATTTAGTAACAGTCATATCACGGAAACATACATATATTTGAGTTTGGCTGCGTGTTATCTCAAATATAAAACTGGTAGCACAACAAAATGTACACTATATGGTTGAACTGAAAAAAAGAAGAAACTTTCATTCTAAAGAATCATCTTTGTCTAACACAATTATGAGTTTTTATTATAACATATGTGTAAAACTTGGGCACTGTGGTAGTAAGTAATGCCATATTAGTTTGTTTATTAGATATATCACACAGTGAAACAGTATTATTTACTGGATGACGTTTCGAACAAAATTTATTGTTCATAATCATATCAATTGTGATCACACGACTTTGAAACCTGAGTTTTATAGTTTTCTTTGTTCTCTCCTATTTGTCGTAGGGGTAGTAGAATTTTCCAGATATCTGAGACAGGTGTTGAATCATTCCTACTACACGTATTTGCAGTTGATTCGATAAACAAGGCTTCTTTTATCAATCTCTCCCTCAACCCTGTGGCATAAGATTTTAAAACTGTCATCCTATCCCATCCTATTGCATGCATAGTTGTGTGTAATTGCATGTAGTGCTATAGCTGAACTGTTCTCTAGATTTCTTAACTTATTTGGATCAACTAATCTAGATTTTGCTAAGTTTTTATGTTCAGCTAGTCTGACTGCCCCTGTTCTACTAGTTTGACCTATGTATTTGACCTGACAATCATTCAAGCAGGGTATTAGATAAACTAAATTGTTTTGTTTTAAAGGCTCCACGGGATCCATCATTTAACCGACAAAGCTTGTTTCTAATTGAGTTTGTGGGTTTGAATGCCATTTTTATTCCTGCCTTGTTAAGAATACTGCGTAAGGCTTCCAAAGTCCCTCCCTTGTATGGAATTACTACTGATGATTTAGATTCTTTATTGCGGGTGTCGTCATTAATATTATTATTATTATTATCATTGTTATCACTATCGCTACTATCATTATTTATTTTATTTATACATTTCTTTACAAATTTCCTGACTAATTTATCCGGGTAATTATTAAGTTTCAAGGCTTCTTTTATGTACATCAGTTCCTGTTTTAGATTTTCTTTGGTACTACTAAGTTTTTGTGTTCTGTCATTTCAACATTTCACCAATTCTATTTTTACTGACATAGGATGGGATGATCGGAAGTCCAAATATCTGTTTGAGTGTGTGGGTTTCCTGTAAACACTAGTGTTTAACTTCCCATCTTCTTTCCTTTTTACGTTGCAATCTAACATTGGGAGCTCCCCTTCCTGACTTTCCAATTCATAAGTGAATTGAATTGCCTCAACCTTCGAGTTGATGTGTTCGAAAAACCTATCTATATCCTGTGTTCTAAGTATAGTGAATGTGTCATATACATACCTACACCATACTTTTGGGGTGGGGCTGAACGTCTCAATCGCTATGTTTTCCCACCTATCCATGAATATATCTGCCACAACGGCGGATATTGGTGACACCCTGGCAACTCCCTCAGTTTGTTTGTATATTTTCCCCTGGAATTTACATACTGTGGAAGTCAGGCATAGCTGCACCCCTAGCATCATGTACTCAAGTGGCACTTTTGTCCTAAGTTGGAGTTCTTGGTCAGAAATGAGTTCATTTCTAACTGCCTCCATAGCCATATTTATTGGCATACATGTGTATAAACTGACAATGTCAAAACTAACCATTTTTTCTTCATTATCTAATTTTAAATTATCTAATCTGTGTTTTAGTTCATAAGAATTAGTTAGTCTAGATTTCGAGTGGATTTTTAGGGGATTTAATACCATGGTTAAATATTTAGATAATTCATAAGTAGGTGAATTTCTAAAATCAACTATAGGCCTAATAGGGTATCCTGACTTATGAACTTTAACAACACCATACATCCTACTGGGGTTATTAGTTTTGGGCATTAAACTAAACCACTTAGACTCACCTAGAAATGGCTTCATCCGGCGTAGAAGGTCCGCTATGGATTTCTTAACTTTATTCATAACTGTATCTATTGGTTTATTAATTTCCTCATATGGTCCTGTTTGTATGTGAGTAATTACCTTGTCCAAATAGTCTGATTTATTTATTTATTATAACATTTGAATAAATTATTAAACATTTGCATAATCCACCCAAATGCCTTTTTTCATGATTAATTACCACATTGACATTTTTTCCCTCATTCCATTGAGTCTTGAATGGAACATAGAGCTTCAAGCTTACGCTATGTAGTTTCAGTAGCGGTGTTCTTTTTTTAATCGGTGGAGTCGTCAGCTTCACGCCCAACCTTCCCTCTTTTTCTGGCTAACTAACTGCAAAGTGGTGTTTAGGAGCGCGCCGTTTAGGAATCGAACTCAGACTATGTCCGTAGCTGACGAGCATTTTTACTATCGGGCCATCATCAACGCACCACATTTAAAGATAAATACAACAAAATAATTGTTAGTTAATATGAACAGTAGTAGTTGAACTTACTGAAAGGATTAAAGACTGATAAAACTTGGGATTGTGATCTAGGCAGAAAAGAGGAAACAAAATAAAACGAATAATTGATGCAAGTGCACGTTATCATCAGATAAGGTTATAAGTGTTAACTTAATCATGTTTGAAGTGTCTTAAAAAAATACTGTGACAGTAAGAAAGACATTTTAGTTTATATCCTATTGTAGTGAGATATACAACTTTTGATAAGGAAAGTTGAAATCTTCACACTTTGAATAGCCTCACTTTATACAAATCACTTAAATACCGTCAGTCTTCATTTCATAAACTAGTTTATCTTAATATTGTTCTTGTAAATGTTACAATTCTTGCAGTCAGTGAAATTAAGCATAATCATGTAACACAAAGTTTGATTTCATGATCTACTAGCTCAGAGGTCTAATTTGTTTTTATCATTTAGTCGTAAATACTCTTCTGGATTTGAAATAGGCGGAAAACAACTTGAAATTCTTTGGTTGTTATTGCTTTTTATTACAATGAATGACTTTTAATCTATAAAATAGCCATTTGAAAAGAAAAGATTAATCTGAATTCATTTCATTGATATATATATATCAAGGCGTTTTAAGCAAATGTTTATCATTCAATAATTACTTATATAAAATAACGAACATGTACACTTATTTTATAACAAAAGAGAAAATTATCGATAACAGAGCGATGAAAATGTGAATGACACTCCATCTCATTAACCTTGATATATATATTAGAACTCAACTTAAAAGCTAACTGATCTGTTTTTGTTTATTCCAACTTTCTTGAGGTCAGATGCATAAGTTCTCTGAAATTCGATAGCACAATTGAAGAATATGCGCATTTTCTTTCCCGATGTAATTTACAAATTAATTTATAAATAATATTTCCTATAACATGAATATTTTCATGACTTTCATACTGTTATATTATTTGAATTACATGAAATACGTCCAATTTTTAGTTCAGTTGGATGATATGTTGATATAAACTTTGTAAATTCCGTATACGGAAAAAGTAGCGAGGTCAGTAACCTCTTGCTGAGTTTATTAATTCAACTTCTCCCATAGAGTCAGACACGTTACTTTGGTTGTTACTATTGGAACTGAATTTTCTGTCCCACAGAACTCTAACTGGTAAGCATTAGAAATTCAATATTTGCATACCTGGTTCAAACAGACTATGAGACAAGCATTTGTCGATCGTCTTCACTTGTCTGTTATGTACCTAACAAAGCGCCAAAAGCTACGTGACTCCTGATGTGAATAAGTTTATTTTTTCTGCGTTTCTAATTTTCAGTAGTGATGGGGTGATTGTTTACGGAGCGAAGTTGTTAGATCCACGCAAAAATTTAATTTACCAGTTGGTTAGTAGACGTACGAAATACTCCAAATAGCCGAATCCACTATAGTAAATCATCTGAAAATGTCAAAACAGTCCATACAACTCCAGCCAACATCACTATACTGGCTTGCTGTAGAATTTCCAGACCTTTGAACACCCCTATTACATCATACCCCTGATTTACTCAATTAAATTTATCTGATTCATTTAAGCTTTTGTTCTTGCATTTGTATGAAATTATTTATTTTGCTTAAATTGTTTTTCTCTATCCAAAAGCACGTTCACTTGTAGACAACCTTTCACTCTGTTTCCTCTACTCATATTCACAGTGTTGAAATTCATTGAAATGAAATTTTAGAATCAGATTGAATAAAATGCATTATAAATACTAATCATGAGTATTCAGTATCAAATAATTCCCTACCATTTACGATTTTTACTTAGAAGAAAAGAGAATTATTTAGAAAAGTAATACTACTTACGATGAGGTTGTAGAGGCATCAGTTAATGAAGCCAGTGGTGAATTTACCTACAGATATAAAAACAAAAGGAAGATAACTAATTCAGTTCATAGAAAAATTGGTTGAAATTAGCGAAGTAATTAAATTTTATTTTCTTCTTCTGTGCTTAGAAGTTTCAGTGGTGAAGCAGTTGATTTTCTCTACGGGGGTGAGGATGTTGGCGGAACGTCCAATTTCCTCTCTTTTCTGGGCTATACCACCAGCAGGTAAACTTAATTATACAGTATCATGCACATATTCCTTATTAAAGCTGACTTCCTTACGAGCTGATTCAACAGTACTGCTTAACGTACTAGCTAATGAAGAAATCTTTTAACAAAGGACCTGTATGTTATACAATATAGATGTTGAAATAAAATTAACAGCATAAGATTATCAACAAATTTCGATATTCACGACAACTTATATCAGATGAATAAAAGTGAAGAGACTTAAGTTCGCGCGGCACCACTACCAGAAGGATAAAATAAGCTAAAAACTTTTCCACGTATATCTTGTTGTTAGAAAATCACAGAGGACAGAAAAAATTGTCAACCAAATGCTTCATCAGTCTTTCGCCGTAAATTGTAATCTTACATAACGATAAATATATTATGCAACTGTGCATTCTTTTTTTCACCTTCACATCTTACTAATATTAGAATTTAGAAAAATAAATAAATAAAACATGTCTTGTTAACTTCCAAAATTAATAATGCAATCGAATAGAATTTCACGATGAGTGCAGAAAAAATTTGGTGTTACAAAGCTGAAATTAATTCATAATAAATTCATTATAGCTAGTTATTGTGTTTGTCACAGCGTATCGGCGAGAGAGTAATTGCAACCATAAGTACACCTAATAATCAATACAACTATTAAGGTTAAGAAAATAAGTAGTAGTGAATATACTAAATAAAATGCATAAAATTGAGTTAATGGAAATGAGAATAATGTAGAAAATATCCAGCCCATTTGTTTAGTTCACTAGGCGATTTAAATAAAAGTAACCGTTCGAACGACAATAGTGCATCAGTTGAAGCTGCAGCACTATCAAACAAAAAATAGCATAAAGTAAGGAAGGAAATGTGATGAAAGGTAGTAGATAATAAGGATATGTAAAGTAGCTAATACAGAATTAGAATAGGTTGTATTGTGAAAGTGTGCGGATCATTTATCAGGATTTTAAATTATTTCAGATTACTCTCAGTTGCTTCGGTATAGGCACCCGGGTATTATCCCAGCTCTAACACTAATAATGCGGAAAATTAGTAACATGCTTATTCTCACGCTCACGAACAGTGATGATATTTTTGGGAACGCGTTTCTTTTTAACCCTATTTTTATGTTTTATTTTTACTATCCTCGGTGTCTTCATTTTCGTCGGCCTCTCGCCTTTGTTTGAATTCTCAGCCTATCTGTGTCGTTTTGAGATGTCAGTGAGAGTCCTTGAAAATGCTTGTCCTCAACGCGATATCTAACACGGATATCCTGAAATCGCATATTGCCACCCAAAATGTTTGGAAACTGATGCAAATCGGACAACAGGCAGGTTTGGTAAGAGTATTGCATTGCCTGGCTATCGATGTCTGCTGCATTTCAGAGATCCTCATCCAAGATCCCAGTGAAGTGCTTCGACTACCTTCTCCATATGAAAGTCTGCATAGTATGTCCCACCTGCGCTTGTCCAAGGACCCTGTGGCGTCGGTGTTGCACTAAGTGCTAGAGCCGAAGGTGCATTACTCGACTAGATCCCCATTAACAGTAGTTTATGTGCTATGAGGCTGTAAGGTTATACCAAAGTAAGAAGTGCTAGGCCAGATACGCGGGGATTTCATAGTCGCAAATCAGATTATGGGAACCATCTTCTGCAACTCTGTGCAGATCACAATCTATTTCTATCCAGCACTAACTTCCGGCACAGTCATCGGCGTAGCGCTACTTGGCGTCCTCCCTCTGCGAATCAAGCCCGGACTCAGATTGAGCAAACTGGTAGCACCTGCTACCTCGTTGAAATACTAGATTGAGTTACAATCAATGATTGCTAGCAACCCTCCGAGTAGTATCGATGAACATTGGCTTCATCTGCAAGGCTCTATGCAAACGGCGAGTGTAACCGCTTGTGGCATGAAAGAATGCTCCGCTAAAAACCACTAGGTTTCTGCGGGATCCTTACAGCTCCTGAATGAACGCCAGTTCATTCCGACAAGTAGTGAGTACAACAACATGAGAAAGGCGCTCAAACGCAAGATCAAAAAGTGTTCACTTAAGGACCTCGAAGCCTAATGGTCAGGATGTGCTTGTGAGATGAAGTCAGCAGCTGCATCTGGTAACAGTTGGAAGCTGTTCCAGCTCATCCGAGCTGCCAGCAGCAAGAAACAGGGTGTCAAGGAGACGGTCTGCGAGGCAGATGGCACGACAGTTACCAGCCTGAGAAGACGCCTGGGATGCTGGCCACTAGCGCCAGTATCCACTTTCATCAGCTACAGTGCTCATTGGTTGGGCAATACCGACCCACCAATCGAAGTGGAGGTCAGGAAGGAACTCCAAGTGTTGAAACGCCATAAGCCTACCGGCCCAGACAACTTACCCCCGGTTACTCTTAAAGATGCTGGCGAGACTGTCGTCATGGCTTTGACCAGTTTCTTCAAGAAAGCATGGGAATTTGAGGATGTGCCATCAATGTGGAGTGAAGCCATCATCAAAAACGGTTGATTAATATATACAACAACCACTGGGGTATCAGTCTGCTACCAGTTGTGTCTAAACTATTGGTTGCTGTTTTGCTTCGCAATCTGTGCAAAACACGTGAGGGGTTGATTCGCGAAGAACAGGCTGGGTTTCGTTCAGGCCGTAGATTCATTGATCACGTGTTCACCCTTCGTCAGTTGTAGGAACACCGCCACACATATTGCAGGACAACAACTGTTATGTTTGTTGATATTAGGGCTGCCTTCGATTCGTTGGACAGAACTGTTCTCCGGAACTTTTTGTTAGAGAAGGGTGTACGTGGGAAGTTTGTCAACATTATGAAAGTACTATACAGAAACACCTCAGGTATAATGAGGGGACAACCAGATATCATCACTTTTGCCAACCAACAGTGGGGCTAGACACAGTCGCCCAATCTCCCCATTTCTCTTTAATGCTGCCATCGATGACATTCTGGCGTCAGCTCTGCAGGACGTGTGTGATGGAGGTGTAGATCTGCTCATTGAAGAAACACTTTCTGATCTCGAGTATGCGGACGATATCATCTTACTGTGTGATAGTATGCAGACGGCCCAAATCACACTTAGTCAGTTAGCGATCAGTGCCTGTAAGTATGGTATGCGCTTTGCGCAGTCTAAGTGCAGGGTACTGTCACAAGATTGGCAGGAGCCTGTACCTGCACTCACTCTTCCAGGTGAACTGCTTGCAGTTGTCAATAAGTTTGTGTATTTCGGTAGTCGTGTGAGTGCTAGCGGAGGGGTCACAGATGAGATTTCAAACTGTATCACGAAAGTTACGGTGGCGTAAGTCAACTTGAGCCACCTCTGGCGCCGTTGTGACGTTAGACCGACTGTCAAAGGTCGGGTATACAATGCTTCAGCGCGTACTGTCTTGCTCTACACCTGCGAAACCTGGCCTCACCGAGCTCAGAATGTGCAGCGACTCTGCATATTCTATCGTCTCTGTCTCCATAGAACTGCTGGCGTTTGATGGCATCATCGCGTGAGTAATTCTGAGGTCCACAGGCGCTTGTTTGGACACAGTGGAGATCATCATTCGTTGAGTGTCGTCATCTGGATACACAGTCTTCGGTAGCTTGGACATGTGCTACGAATGTCATCTCAGAGGCTTCCGTACTGGTTTCTGTTCGCTAGCCCTGGGACGGGATGGAAAAAGCGAAGAGGTGGCCAGCTTATGACGTGGCGTCGTGGGATGAGAGATATTTGTTTTTAGATTAGCGTCGAATGGTACGCAACGACTTACTGGTTGCAGTTCAAGAGATAGCTCGAAATGTCGCCAGATATATCCAAGAATCATAATCAATGTCGAGAAGGTTTCATTTCGTTTCTTTCTTCCCTTTCTATCAATAATTCGACCATTGCTGATTGGTCTTGTGAAAAATAACTTCTTTCTTCCCAGATGAAATCCTGTTTTTCTTCTCTTTTTTCTTATTTTTTGTTTCATTATTATTATTATTGTTACTTCTTGGTGCCATATGGTACCAGGTTTTGCGTTTTAAATAACAAACTTTCGTAAGGAAACTAATACTTCCTTAACTAATTACTTAGTTACCTAGCTTGAATATTTGACATCCTAATGGAATTATTAGGACTGACTACTGATTTGAGGTACGCTCAGAAATACACATTGAGTGAATTGAATTCAAATGACCGCAGGAGACTATGGTCAGATTCGTACTGATATGGCTTAGATGCAAGCCTAAATTTGGCATAATTTTGACCACAAAAACGTGTTTGCTTTGCTGTTTCCAAAACCATTCCACAGAGTTTCATACTTTTTGGAAGTGTAATCTTCATTTTTTCGCTTTTACTTTCTTGTGGTAACAATGCAGTGGTGCGAGGCACTATTTTGCCAATTTCTAACCTTTCACTTACTAGAAGGTTAGCGAAGGTTTGTCATCAAATAAATTAACAACTCTGAAAGTTTACAATTTGGTTTAACTATCTCAGTAAATCTCATTTGACAAAACCACTACTTATATTATACAACCAAGTGCAACAACTAGCGTTTCTCAGTGACGCACTTGAACATATTAGGACTCGCTTTTTACACCAACAGTGGTCGTAGGTCAATGCCCTACGAATACATTTTAACGGGCCTCAAAGTTTAGAAGGACACTCAGTTATCATTTAAAAGACAACAAGCATTTTATAACAAAATTTAAGTATGCAATGCAATTATAAGTTTAGATGATCAGCGATAAATGAATGCAAAACGTTGAATAACGCCTAAATGAGAATAGAATATTCCTCAACAAGCACTTGCATTTCCATTCAGTTGACAATGTGTAACACATGTGGCATGAGGACTGGTGATACTACGTGGTTATCGAATCTTCAGAGTTGGGTTCAAACCTGTGACTTAGTGGTCAAAAAAAGAATGTCTAAACGAATGTTCACAACCCCCACTAAAATAGCTGCAGAAGTTGGCTAGAATTATTTATGTTACTAAATATTAAGAAGTAAAGGTTTGTGGCATTTGCTGTTGATAAAATTTATCAGTAGTATACAAAGAGACGTTCAACAACGTAAAAATATCAAACAGCGGAGAGATAGATTAAATATTAGAGGAAGCAAATGATACAGCGTTGCGGAGATATATGGGATACGTGGAAGGAATACAAAGAAACACAATATGAAGGACAGAAGTAACACAACAAGGAAGATCTTTGCAAATAGTGATTCGAAGATAAGGTGTACATAATTTCGCTATACAGACATACCACATCCCAAATAAACAACGCATCACCAAATCTCTTGTCTTCTACTGTTAGAGGTTTACTTTAATGCTAGATTTCAAAAGTGATGTATTTAATAGTGTAAGGTCATTAAGATACATCTTTAAATAAGCATACTGGTAAAATGAATCCCTAAAAATGAAGTGTTCAGAGAAGTATTGTATAACGTAACTAAAACTCAAATATCTATTGTGAATAATTTTTGTTTTTAAGCATTTTAAACCATTCGTTTAGTTTTCCAGGAGAAGTAAATAAAACGATAGTTGAACTCATCTCCTACAGGATAAAATGCACTTGTGTATAATTCTATCAACATAAAAGTTCAGTATATCTATCCTTTGACAAATAATAATAAAAAGAATAAATTCATCATAATTTATAGAAATATCAATAATGAACAAACAAAAACGACAACTCAAGAAAATGAATGAAATAGGCCACCTAAATAAAATAATAATACAACAGAAAATGAGATTTATCTATCACACTAATCTTAAAAACAGTTAATCTATTCAAATTCAATATTTTATTTTATAAGTTCTTAAATGTATTCAATTATGTATATTGCCTAGCATGTGAGGGGAACAGGTTGAATGCATACTCCTTTTTATTACTGTAATTAGAGAGAAATATTATATTTATCATTCAGGAAAGAGAATTGGATAGCAAACAATCAAATAAATAATGCAGAATTGGGTATGAGCGCAGGTACTAATATGCAAGAAGATATAAAAGAGAGTAGAGTTAGAGCAACACACTGATTTACAGTAAAAACTGATTAGTGATTAGATAATGTAAATATGAAAAAGCACCATATATATATATATATATATATATATATATATATATATATATTGAATATGAACACAATAAGCATAAGTGTACTTTGAGGTTTGAGAAAAGATAAAACAAAAATAAGGCGAATGATAGCGTTTAGGCAAATACATAAATAAGAAAAGGGATTTATTCAACAGATATTATTACCGGGTGCTATTTTCTAAATACAACTCATATATATATATATATATATATATATATTGGAGATCAGTGATAACTTCTATAGAATACATTCCCGTTTAGCAGAAACTAAGTTTTGGTTTACAGGAGCATAAGTGAATAGCTTTGATAATACAGTTATTCTGAGATATGGCTTCAAATCAAAATGACCTATAGAAAGGCAAGGTGAATGAGTGCTAAAATAAAATGAAGTGATGAATAGGCTATGAAATGAAGCAGCATATGAGATGTGGCGTCACTTACGCGTAAAAATACAGAAGTCTAAAGAAATATACACATGGAGTAAATAAATTTAGTTATCTTACCTTATATAAGACGAATGAGAAAAAAATTAAGAACGTCAACTTAGAGCCGTTGACAAGATAAAAGTTGGACAGTCTAGTGGATTTAAATTTAACAAAAACTTACAACAATTCTTGTAGGAGGACGTCGACCAGCTAAACCACCAGAATTCACAAGTCTAGTTCGATCTTGAGCTTGTTTCACAAAAAATGGTAATTCTACAGTAGTTGAATAATGATTCTGTACATCATGTACAGTACTGTGACAATCATTCCTATCTTCCATTTTATTCTGATGATAAGAGAAACACCTATAAGGTGGTATAGTATCATTTAAATGAGTTGTATCAGTTAGATCTTCTAATCGATCACTCTTGGACAAGTCAGCATCTGTGAATTTAACACATATAAAAAAGAATAAAAAATGATCTTAATCACTTGAATTAAATATAAACGCCAACTCCGACAGAGAATATGACCAAATGAATACCTTTCACATAGCAATTAATAAATAAATAAATGATAGTACATTCAAATTAATAAATCACTCTAACAGTATGCAACATAAAGAATTGAGTTCATTAAGAATTCCTTTCATGCAAATGATGGTAATAATGGAAGCAAAAATGTTTTCATTCTATATCATATTCTTGAATTATTTTTGTTATTAATAGAAATGCAAAAATAAAACGATAAATACTGTGAAACACACCAACGTGAATATATATATATATATATATAGGCAATTTTTGAACAACATACCTGTAGAAGTGTTAAAATTCATTCAACACGAATGAGAAATGATAAGAATAAGGACTTTGAGAGACAAAAGGAGAAAGAATAATATGAAAGCAAGTTGTAATGAAAATTCCTCTTATATATACACCCACGTACACCTACACACATGACAAGCACACAATGAATCAGCCTGGGAAATAGTAGCACTAATCAACATTATTGTTAAGGCTTTTTTACGGCACAATACATGTTTCCGATTAACAAGTTACAATGCAACATTCCAACTGTAAAAATTAGACATATAAGAACAAAATCATACCGTCAACAAATAATAATACGTTGCTCTTGGCATCTCAATGGGTATGATAATCAACGCTATAAAGCAGTGCTAATAAATGTTATAAATTAAGATAATAAAAATGAATTCAAAAGTGAAATTTATCTTGTCAGTCCAATTATATAATACATGTAGTCATCATTGATGTAAACCAGTTTTATTTAAAGGATAGTATAATTATTATTGAATGTTATCAATATTGATTAACATTAATTCAGTATGCAAATTCCTCGTTTATTCGAATTCGTTCTTCACTTATTGAAAGTACGAATTCTTGCCGTGATTTTATTGTCTGCATTGTAAACAGAAGCAAGACGACCAGAAGCATTAGTTTACACTGTCATTTATTTATATACTCTATAGTCACAAATGATGTTTTGTAGCCACGATCCATGTTGTTGTATATAATCACCTATATTATAAGTATAACACTGTTTACATTAATTGATTTGCTAAGCAGTTGGTTTAATTGTCTACATATCCACGAAGCTTTTATTCAGACTGAAGCTGGCTTGAGTGCTATGTGTGGTATCTTGAGAGCCGGCCGCTATGTTCTGGCATCAGCGAGAGTTTCTCAAGCTGTATATTTTGAACAAGCGTTATTTGTTTTTATTCATTTGAGGAAATTTATCTTGGTTCGATGAAAAAGTAATACACTAACCAGTACAGTTACATCAAACTTTAAGAAACGTATCAATTGATTGATTAATCTTGAATGATCACCGTCTTAGTGTAAACCACTGCAACTGAATAAGATACAGCTAAACTGAATCGTATTGTCTAAGTAAGTTCATGATTGCACGACAAAATTACTCAATAAGGTATTTCCTAAACAGCAGATGCTCTTCGAAACCATTCATGTTGACATCTGCTTTTTGTTTCGAAGTTATATTCACAAACAATCAAATAATTTCATGTGACCCGGAGAAGTAATTTTACTTCGGAATTTTACGAAACACCAACAAGCAATGTGTGCAGAGTAGTCGAAATAATATTATCGGTCATGCAGTTTGTCATGTAAAACAATAAACTAAAAACAATTTTCCAACATACATATAGCCAACTTGACAAACATTTATCCACACTTCATGCATTAATTTTCACACATTGAATGCATAACTACTAGTATTCCAAAACAGAGACCTATTCTCTAAATTCAAGCTTCATTCAATAACTGTACGAATGTCCATTTACACGCTTAACCTAACGCTGTACAACTTCTACTTTTTCTCCGGTTGTTTTTGTAATAGGATTATTGACAATAATATGAATTTTGTTAACATCTCTATAAGATTCAACTATAAATTGCCTTCGACCTGTAGATTCAGTTTAGCCACAACCTACAAACAACGGTTGATTGCATACATGAACGAAAGCCAGGAAAACATTATCTCTTTTTAGATTGCATTCTGTGTAAAATCTTTCTTAAGAGAATTACTAGTTATGATATATACATATATATACATATCATTGAGTGAACTAGTTGATTTCATTATGATGTGATATCATCGATAGCACTGGTTGCCATTATATCGTGAATTGACAGAAGTTAAAATTCCTAAGTATAGAATTCTAACCCGATAGGTAGTTGAATAGTTAACGGACTTGCCTAGTATTCTGAAGGTCTTGGATTTGATCCCCTGCATGGTTGTTAGAGGTCACTACTATAGAGTCTTAAACTATGACAACAACATAGCCGCCAAGAAAATGTCGTTGAAGTAAATAAGCTAGACACCATTTAATTCGCTGCAAAACCTCAATCATCACCCTGTATTGCACTATACCGTAACCATTTACTATATACAGCCACGAAATCCATCAGAAAAACACTAGTTTTCGCCCAATGACACCTATACACTGGAGAGTAAGAATGTATTTTTTTAAAAACTTTAGTTGCAATAAATTTTTATTGTTATTTTTTGTTAACAAAAAGGCACATCAACGAATAATAATAATAATAATAATAATAATAATAATAAAAGTTATCGATCACTACAATAATAAGCAAAAGATGATGAGAGACAATTTTAGAGAAGAGACAACACTGCTAGCACTACTGCTCTACCACTACACTACATACATACACACACACACACATTAAACTGTTGAGCAAAAACATTAGACGTGAAAGAAGAGAAAGAATCAGCATCGTATCATATTCAGGAGAAGATGAAAAAGAATAAAGGTGAATATCGTCTTTGAAAACTGATCACTAAATACTGCATTCACCATTTTACACTAACCATGAAAACACAAAACAATCATCAATGAAACATGCCATTGTACGGGAATAACAACCTGTAAATTTTTGTTAGTAGTATTACATTGCCTTTAAACGATGATGTTTGTCTGAACATACTGTATGTATTTGTGCATGTATACGTATGTGTGTGTGTGTGTGCACGCGTACATACATACATAGGGTGTCTATTGAGATTATGGTTTATGATTAACTTCGTTTCAATGTATAAGGATTTGTGCAGTAAGTAAGAAGGCATTGTCAGACACTACTTTCATGCATGCATGTGAATGCAAACAGTGTATGTAGAAAGATTGTAATATGTACATAAAGAATATTACAGACACAATGACCAAAAGTACAAATTATCCATAACAATGAATGATTCTAATTCTCCTTTTTTAAAAATTATTTCCGTAGTCGTTTACCGCATTGTTTCATAGTTCAGTATGTTACCTCTAAAAATAGTACGATGTTCATAAATTATTATAATAATTATTATTATTATCATTATGCATATATATTTACATATAGTTCGTCTAAATCATTCAAATAATGTTTACTCAAAACTATTAATAATAACGGCAAACAGACGTGTTACTGTGTTTAGGAGCACTCACACACAAAGATACACACTGATGCATTATTGGTTAAAACATTATAACTTTTGTAAATTAACTTCCCATTTGTGGGTAAAGATGAAAAAAGACAATATGTATCAATTTAACTCATACTTAGCACATTCAAAAAAAAAATATTCAGCAAAGACAATGAATCTCTATCTTTTACGAGTTGATCACGGATTGATGTCAGTCAGAGAACCATTGAAAACCAGGGAGTACTGGACAGTCGTTTCATGCTGGTTTGGGAATCATCGGCAGTACGCACCCACTGGGGTTCGAACCCAGGACCTCCCGGTTACAAGGCAAGCTCATATACCATTCAGCCACTGGGACCGGACTCAATGGCTCATGAATTCTAACTTCTACCAATTCGTGACTAAGCGCGAATGGTATACGAGCTTGCTTTGTAACCGGAAGGTCCTGGGTTCAAACCCCAGTGCGTGCATTCTGCCAATGATTCCCAAACTAGGACGAAACAGCTGTCCAGTACTCCCTGGTTTTCAATGGTTCTCTGACTGATATCAATCCGTAAAAACAAAACTTATCCTTACAAACCAACTATAGAAAAAGAATCTCTGTTTGCTGCTTGTATTTCCACAGAATAATTTGGTCATTCAGACTTACAAGGTAAAAATTATAATCGACTAATAGGACAAAGATCAAGTTATTTTTGCCATTTGTGTGTCGGTGGTTCAGTGGTAGAACATTCGCCAACCATGCAGGTGGTCCAGGTTTGATTCCCAGCGAATGCACTCGTAAATCTCGCTAAGCCAATAGTAAACTCGGTGAAGAGGGAAGGTTGAGAATGAGGCTAGCAGGTCCACCCCGTAAAGGAACACCGCTATTGAAACTTGAAGCTGCACGTTCCATTCGGAACGTAAGAATGCGAAATACGACAAAAGATTAAATAAAGAGACTGCAAACACAATGCTTCACTGAATAACTTATTACTACACGATATATATATATATATACGATAAGACTACTCCGCCTATTCATTAATTGTTTTTTTGTTTCACAAAGTTGAAGTTTTTGTAGGCTGGTTTGTTTCAGTTTCCTATTGATAAGAAATAGCTTTCAAATAAATCACGACTACCGGGAATAATATACGCATATATACGAACACATATACACTTTGCATATACAACAACATGATAGATGCATGCGTACAACCAAACAGCGTTGATCAATACGTAGTGTTATTTTCGTACAATGCACAGTGGGAAATAAACATGACATTATTCACAAAAGCAGATATGCTTTTTCTAGATGGCCAAATAATCAATCTCTGAATATTAATTGGAAACTATTTATTACAATGGATAAACATGGAATTGCTAGTTATCATTTATATGAACTGTGATCAAAATTTCACTGGATAGTTCCAAAATAAGTTGGTAGCTGAGTCAGAATTAGACATATGTCAAAATTATATTTATACATACAAATATAATTTTTACATATGCTACCACTTATTACCTTGCTAAAACAAATGACACCGAATAGTTTAACAAAAAGCTCGAACAGATAAGGTTGGATGATAAAAAAGGTAGTAAGGTGCAACTATATGCCAGAAAATATGTTTCTACCTGATGGTTGAATCACATAGTTAGATAATGCGATATGTGTAAGTGCGAGTATTTACACTGATTCCATTAAGGCTCAGAAAATATCTTCACCTGTTTTATATTAGATGTTTAGAGGCAATCGGCAGGAAGCCTTGAACCTAGGTTTCGTGCTAGCTAGTTGGCACTCTTCAGTAAGGCGTATTTGCAACCTCGAAGGAACTCATATCCCTTCTGAGATTCAGACTCGCGTCTACTAGTAATGCAGTCCGAGACGTTTCCACTGGGCTTTTCGGGCTCGCTATTGACCTCTTGTAGGGCTGTATTGAATATTTTTGATTGGACACTAGTTAGTAATTAGTGTAATGTGTCTAGTCCTTTGTTTGGTGCAGACTGAATTTTGTCACTCACGTTAGCAACGTGGTCACTTGTTTGTTATAGACGGAATACTAGTAAAGCACTTAACTGAGATATAAGTCTTGAGTAACAAAATATAACAAAGTTGGATTTTAAAAAAGACTAATAATTATTATTATTGTCATACTATGATTGGGTAGGAAGAATTAATTTTGATAGTAATACAGTCGGGTTGGTTCATCTATTTGTCACATAGAATATTAGCATTATTCTTACAATGATTCAAAAGGAAAAATAAGAATTTTAAGCTATTCATAGCATAAATATGTGTCTATCTTCAGACAATGATACGGGTAACACAAAAGAAACAAAATTTCTCTTTCTCTCTCTCTCTCTTAAGAAAGCCTAATTTAGCTTTCGACAATCTATAAAATGCATGATTTAAGTGATGCGTGGTTAGAGTGCAGAAATAGGTGGGTGATAAGTCAGAAATATATAAACAAACACAGACAAACACGGCAACGACACTACGCTTAAAGTTAGATGACAAATATAGAAATGCTGCTGACCTTTACAATTACAGACATATAAACAAATATGTCTGCAATTCACAGCTATTGCTAGGTGGACAATGATACATTTATTTTCCTACATTACTAACAAGATCAGATTTAATTTTTCACCAAATCGATGAATATTTTAAACCATTCATATCGAAACGAGACTAAGGTAACTTATTCCTACATTTGTGGAATTTGGGGAGTGAGTCATTTGTACTATAGATTAGGTGCAATTAAAAAAAATTATAATGCATCAAACAGTATTATGTTGTAAGCTTGGTATACAGTTGGTTATGACAATATCGTAGGTATATTGTGATGATACACCGCCACCGTATTAGGATGTACTTAGTTTCCAAGGTATAGACAAAGTTATGCATCATATTGAATGCAGCTCGTCGACAGAATGACTTCAATCAGCATAATATGGATGAACAGTACATTTCGTTAACAAATTTAGTAATAATTGATACAGAGTGTAATTTGATCATAATACTGCTTTAGATTAAATAGTTAAAATACAAGAGTGATAGCCAATATTTGGGTTTCACTTTTTCCTCTCTCTAATTCTGAATTAGGGTATGATGAAGCTTTTAACATACCACAAAAAAATTGTTCCAGACAATATATAGATATATACGACATTTCCAAAACGAGATGAATGGGATTTATTAGAAGAGAAGTAGAAAGTAAGCTTTCTATTTTCTTTGCAAAATAAACAAATAAGCTGTTGTAACATACACATTTAATTAGAGATGTGATTAGAAATGGAAAAAATGACAGCAGGAATTTCCCTCTGTAATAGCGCTTCTATGTAGCATTACAAAAATATGAACATCATCAATCTAAGTAACCCTCTACATAAACATATAGTGTAATTGGGAGAAATTCAAATATTATAGTAGTTATATCGATGGAAATACGTTGTGTTATTTAGGGGAACTTACCAATATTTTCGCATAATTCTTCTCCGTTATCTTCTTTATACGATGACGCATTCAACGATGACTGAATTTGTATGTGAGAGGATAAAAAGAGAAAACAAAACGAAGATAACAAAAGACGGCAAATACTGTACTGAAGAAATTGACAGATATGGAACAACAAGTAGCACTTTGCTTCCAAGTTGGAAATATGGCTGTTATAAATCTATTTAACTTATAATTAACACTAACTGATGAGATGATGGAAAAAATATTGTTATGTTTATCAGAATATCTAAAAAAACAACTAATTACTCTGACATGCAATGGAGGATATTTTATTGATTTTGGTTATAGCTTGAAACCACACAGTATTTTTGGTACAAGTATGGAATTTTCAGCATGTGATATCGGTTGCCCAAATTTTGCAGACCGACCATAGATATCGGGTGTGCGTCGGCAGGCGATCGAACCTCGGACCATGTGCATGGTCGGCGAGCATCCTAACCACTGTGCCACCGGCTCACAGAAATGATAAGATAGATTTAAGACAATGCATTACATTAAAGTCTTATACCACCCTAGTAAACAATTAAACTATAACGCTACTTGCTTCAGTGATCATTTTGACATGTAATGAGTACAAATATGATGTGTATTCACAAAATGAAATTAATTGACACTAACAAATTTTTTGATTAATTGAATTATCGCCTAATGGTTAGCGCTTTCCATACTGCATGATATAGCAGAGGAATACCTAAGACCGGGTAGAAAGATTCTTAAAAAAGGACAATGCTAACTAATATGTCAATAATCTTGAAGATGAATATTTCTGCATGCTTTAGTTCTGTTACAAGAATTTAACAATAGAAAGTTTGGATTGATTTATTCTTCTATATTTGAAAATGATACTCAAGGATTGATCTATTTTCCTTAATTAATGTTTACTAATTTTGAATAGCAAATAAAGACACGAAGTAGTATTGCTATCTTACTAACTATGTCGATTCAAGAAGTCAGGCATTTCAAGAAGGACATAAATTCCAAAATCAGTATACTATGGTTAGGATTGCCTTGCAAGTAAATAATACTGCAAAAAGGTAGCTAGGTCATTTACATATTAGTTTTAAAACGTAATTGTATACTAACCATGCACGAAATGAGTACAACGAATACCGAGAGTATCTAGTCAATGTTTTCATCTAGCCGAATTGCAAACTGTGCCTAGGATATAATTAAAATAAGATATAATACTCCAATACAGCGGAAGTAAGTGGAATTATGTCATTTTGTAAATGTGCAGCGAAGCTGAGTGAGAATATTAGGCTACACTGTCAGTGGAATCCACTTGTCAACTTAGCTGAGGCTCTTGGATTAATATAGCAGGAAAGCTTACTCGCTGGATACAAATAGCAAAGCGAATGTTACCACGAAGGGCTTTTGTAGTACAGAGTTAAACGCCCCATTGAAAGCAAGGGGTGTGACAAGTGTCAGATACTGACAACAGGCATACACGCATTTCAAAACCTGAACAAACGTTTACAAAGCTTGTCAGTAGCACACCCTCTCCTGGCCAATCACAATACCAATAATTATTAGTTGAACACAAAAGAAAGAGGAAGTCACAAAACCCTGAGAAGTCGATGTACTAGATGATGCATTTAAAACCATAGCGAAGAAAATCTCTTACCGTGTAAATTATAGAAAATCGACTAGGAGTTTTTAAATTATGAATACGCTTTATCATGAGTACTCTCTTCCACAAATGGCTGTAAATAAAATCACAATGAATACTTCCAGGTCGGTAGAATACATCAAAAAAATGAAGGTGTGCTTGTATTATAAGGACGGCGAATAACAGTTAATGGATAACTATTTTTTAAAATTTTATTCAACCACTATGGAAAGATTACAAGGTGTTTCTTTGTTCAGTTTTCTCCTATCTTCCCTCAAGGAGTATTGTATTTATCTAATAACACTAGAGGTATAAACTAAGATCACTACTCAGCATTTAGGAAAAGCAGTTCTTCGAAAACCTTATCACATATTTATTAAAATACGTATGTTGTATACCACAAACGAATGTACGCTACACAGGGAACTAAAAAACAAAATATAAAATTAGGTAAACGCTTTACTTCCTTACAAAGTATCAATTTTAAGCTCTTGTGACATCTTGTTTCTCACTATAAATATGTATTAGAGTCAAGATATATATATATATATATATATAATAGAGAAGATTTGTAGCTCAGGTGGATGATTTTGGTGTAGTTGTGTTCTCTGAGCTGGATGGTTTGGTTGCGAAGCTTTCATTGCTCTACTGAGCAACATCTTCAGCGCATACTTCGATGTGAAGTGAGCTTTTAGAATTCTCTATGAGTTTATTAGTCATCTCTTCTAGTAACTCTGAACGTGATTGGTTGTTTTCGTGTGACATTTCACCTCCTAGTTTGCTTGTCTTGGTGCTGGCTGCTTCTTTGGTCTGAATGTCGTTAGTCATTCCTTCTGCTAACCTTGAACGTGATTGGTTGTTTTTGTGTGACTTCTCACTTTCTAGTTCACTTGTTTTGGTGTTGACTGTTTCCTTGACCTGAAGTTTGACTTTGTTTTTGTGTGAATTTCTTCGTATGGATTGGTATATTTTGTCAATCTCTGTGTGTCTATTGATTGCTGATTCATTTGAATACCAGGCCTCTAGGAATTCTCTGGCATTTTTGCAGTTCCCTTTGTCTAAGATTTGAACATTGTCCCAGTCGAATTGGTGCCCGTGGTTGTCTGCATGTAGTGATATGAGGGAGTGTATGTCGTGTCTTTTGACAGCTAGTTTGTGTTCGTGAATGCGAAGACGAAGAGGGCGTCCACTTTGACCAATGTAATGTTTGTCGCAGTCGTTGCAACTTATCTTGTAGATGACGTTAGTTTTGTCTTCTTTTGCCGTTGAGTCCTTTGGTTTACATAGAATTGAGTGTAGTGACTTTGTTGGTTTATGAGCGACATCGATTCCAAAAGGTTTGAATAGTCTTGCAGTGATTTCAGGGATATCTTTTATATATGGTAGGACGACTTTCTTTGTGTTTTCGCTGGTGGCCTTTGATTTGGTTGGTTGAGCTAGGGGTAGATGCCTTTTGATGAAGTTTCGTGGGTATCCATTTCTTTGGAAGACGTCCATAAGATGATTTTCTTCAATTTTCCTCAAGGCGGGAGTGCTGCAATGACTCCTGGCTCTCTTGAACAATGTACGTATGCAGCTAATTCTGTGTGATGTTAGGTTGTTACTGTTGTAATTGAGTATTTGATCCGTGTGCGTTGGTTTTCTGTATACTTGGGTTTCTAATTTTCCTGTAGTTGTTCTTTTGATTAAGACGTCTAAAAATGGGATTTTGTTTTCATATTCTTCTTCTCTTGTGAATTTGATGTCGTTGAAGGTGTTGTTTATTATGTTGTGGGTATTGTCTAAGTTTTCTCTTTTGATTATCACGAATGTATCATCTATGTAGCGTATCCAAATTTTCGGTTTGATCTTTGGCAGAATTATGTTTTCCAGTTTTTATATGACGGCTTCCGCAATCAATCCTGATATGGGTGATCCCATAGGTGTCCCTTGAATTTGTTCATACATTTGGCCGTTGAATTGGAAATAAGTTGTGAGACTTAAGTTTATGCATTCCATCCAACTTGAATGCTGCATTTTTTATTGTTGTATGTGTTCGTCGTTGTTGAGTAGTTGTTCCATGGTTTCTTTTGCTAGTTTTAGTCCGATCGAAGTATATAATGCCGTGATGTCGAAGGATACCATTATTTCTTGGCTGTCTATTTCAATGCCTTTGATTTTCTCTAAAAATTGGGTCGCAGATTGGATGGAGTGATCACATGATTTCGTCGTGTTTCAGTCTTCTGTATAGTTCTTTGGATAAATTGTATGTTGGGGTTCCTGGGAGTGATACGATCACGTTCAAGGTTAGCAGAATGAATGACTAACGACATTCAGACCAAAGAAGCAGCCAGCACCAAGACAAGCAAACTAGGAGGTGAAATGTCACACGAAAACAACCAATCACGTTCAGGGTTACTAGAAGAGATGACTACTAAACTCATAGAGAATTCTAAAAGCTCACTTCACATCGAAGTATGCGCTGAAGATGTTGCTCAGTAGAGCAATGAAAGCTTCGCAACCAAACCATCCAGCTCAGAGAACACAACCACACCAATATATATATATATATACATATCAACAGTTAAACATTAACCAACAGCAGTAATAGATAAGACAACACAGGAGGAGTACATTTATCTTCAACATTCTGTTCACTCTAAACTACAAGAAAATCGTAAGCATAAATGTCATTTCAAGGATGGATGTGTGATATCTACACACAAGGAAACAGAATGACACTAGTTTACAGAAATAGGTTGACCTGAATAGTTTAAACTAACACTATATATATATATATATATATATATGGACTGAACGCCAATCAATATATTAACACCACGCCATTAGTTTGAAGCGAGAAAAAGAAATTGAATCATGAAGTCTGTTTATTCATTATTATAATCGTATCGCCACTTAGTAATATGGAAGTCAAAACGATAACAACAAAGAGCCTACCCTGAATAATAAAATTACACTCATACATAACTAAAGGAAGAAAGAAACTCTTTCAAAGCATACAAAATATTTTTCTTCCGTTTTGAGTAAATTGCTCAGGTAGCATACGATATCTATAAATCTTCAAGAACAGGTACAAATAAGGGAACTAAGATACTTTCCACTAGTACATGAAGAAATTAAAAAAATTGGAAATATCACGTTGCAAATAGTGAAACGTAGACCTTGCAGGTACACTATCAGAATTTAATATTGATTTTCAACTTTTCTGAACAAAATCGTGTTTAGTTGGTTGTTGGTCCCGAGAAGTCGGGAATGAGAACACCATATACTAGCTAAGATACACACACCAGCAATAAACTGATTATGACTGTTGGAGAAATTCTGTGTGTGTTCCTCTTATTACTTATTCAATTCCAAATATTCAACTCAATGAAACATAAATGCTTAGTGAAGAATGAAAAAGAAAATAGTTTGTAATTTACAAAGAAACATTAGTACACTATATCACAGTTGTTTTAATCGATTGTTTCAATCATCAAATTCATTTTAAATAACATTAAAAATAATAAGCTATTGAAGAAATCTCAGGAAAAAACAATTCTAAGAGAAATACGCATGATGGCTGGTTCAATGCATTTTATTGCACTGAATCACATTAAGCTACAAAGTTACTCTACAGGGTATGATATGATCTGACTATAATAACTCTGAAAGAAAGAAGTACAGATGGTGAACTACATACTTCTCAAAGGATAAAAAGGAATAAAATATAAACAAAATATGTACCTAATTATAATAGTGTAAGGATATATCTGTATGTATATAGTGTACTTACAGCTTGATATCTAGGATTACCAATATCGCTATCCCCCAGAGAGTAGCTAAAATTCACGACAAAGAAGACTAATTATTAGAATATTTATTCGACAGGCACATATCCATGCTAAAATGAAGCAACCAGTCAGTCGTATGAATAAAGTTACAGAACACAATTAAAAGTGAACTAACTTGTCTGAATTGACATCAAATTGATAATTGGTCAAATTTTGTTGAGATACTAATGTTTGAGTACTTTTTTGATGAGATTCTTTCAGTTCCAATTCCAAATGACGACAACGTAGACAAAGTCTTTCTATTGCTTCATCCGCTGCCGCCTCTTGAGCTGTAAGCTATTCAAAGTAAAATCAGAAACAAAAATGATTGGAGATCAATACTTTTAACGAATGAGAGGAAAGTTAACCCAGATAACGAAATAATTCTCTTTTAGATACATATTTATTATAGATTTGTATTCGAAGTTTATTTTGTGTTTTATTTACGAACGTTCAACTCTTCACAATGAAGCATTTGTAAGTAAATAAAATCCTAGCATTATTGAACTTCTTCAAGTCTATGACATATTTCTACATCGAAAGTAAAACAATATCTATCAAAGAAATGAACCACATGAGAAAAATTGCCTCTAAATCTATTGGCGATGTGACGCATTGGCTTAAGGACTGGGTTTTTCAGCCCATATGTCACAGGTTCCAGTCCCATTTCACTTACCCCAGTATGGGCAGCTGATTAGTATTATCAGTCCTCACAACACGTGTAGCTTTTAGCATGGTGCATGAGAAATCTATTCCTAGCAATTGAGTTTGAAAAAACACTCATATTATCTTTCTTCTAAGTAACACTAATCGAGCTAAATTTAGCCACTATATAGTAGTACCAGGTTGTATATTAATGACTTGGATTTAAGATGTGTGTCATTGCACATTGTATAATACCCTAGACTTTCAATCAATGAGTCACAGACTTGAACCCATCCTCCTCCACTAAGTTTCAGGCAGCTATGTTATATCATAAGCTCCCACACTATAGATGTAGTTGGTGTTCCCAAGTTCAATGATTTGTAATATTTCACATTTATTACAGTTGTAAGTAAAGACTACAAATTTGAAGTCTACACAATTTATTAAACTCATATGATACTACCGCCACATTTCTACTCTAGTTCTTAACAAGTCGGTAAATAGATAAAACAACCTACCCCTGGATATATTTATAACAGCTCATCGAATATATACAGTAAAAAAACTGAGAAACTATTTCTGTATTAAAGACGAATATAGTAATTTATACTGAATAACTTACACGTTGCTCAAGATTCCGAACACGAGATTGAAGCTTTCGCAATTGAGTAGTAGAGTCATGCAATTCACTAGCTAGCACCCAAGATACACTATTAACATAATTTGTGGTCCCTGGCGAATGTTTATTCGCATCAGTAGGATAACAATCAAGCAATTCAGGTGGTAAACACACGTTATCTCGTACCTCCACTGCTTGACGAATATAATCCATAATAGCTTCATTACGTCGACGGGTTGATGCTGCAGTTGCCGTTCCCTTTAGAGCTGAACGAGGACTAGAATGATGATGATCTGAGACAGCTGGACTACCATTTAAAATTTTAAAACTACTATCACTGTTATTAGACTTTCTGTACTGTTCAAAAATACTATTCGCAGGAGAAACTTCATTCATATCATTAGAAAGCATATATTTACCAATACAAGGAGATTCTAAATCAAAATCATCACCATTCTCCCCTGTTGCTGCTATTACATCATCGTCCTCGTCGTCGTCGTTATCATCATCATCATCATCCCATACATTGGCTTGCTTTAATGTTCGTGTAGCCACCGCAATTAAGTTATGCAAAGCTTCAGTAGAATCACCACCAGACAACTGAAAAACAAACAATGAGGCAGAAAACAAGCATTTTAGATACCGGTTTAAAAAGCATGTCAGAATAATAAGGGAAAAAAGTGCATCCCATTATATTTGTCAGCTAAGACATACACAGTCGAACGACACCTTTTATAACTTCACTTCAGACTAGAGCATATCTAATAACGAAATAACTGTAAAGCGAGAAATAAAATATGTTTTCAGACAGAAACATGACCATATGTTATAATTTTATACATCATTGAACACCTTTAAGAGTTTAAATTTTTACCCAACTTGCAATTTCACAAAAACTGCCAAAAAATTCAACTCACCTAGAATAAAAGTAGTGAGTGATAGTGAAAAAGAAGAGAACAACTCAAGAGTCAAAATAATCACATAAAGCAACTTGAAATGTTGTTATTGTTATTTTCATCAAAAAAGAGGAAAAGAACAAGTGGGCAGAGCGATGTATGGAACAAGGTTGTTTTTTTCAAAATGGTACAATCACACTGTTAAGCTGTGTTTAGTATATGTCACTCGATTTAGTCTACACTCATGCATGTGAGTAACAAGTTAGTAAGATGAAAATAATGAGCTAAGAGGAAATATCAGGAAAACAACTTACACATACTATATAACGACAACAACACGTTTGTCCACTGTGTGGCAACAACGGTAGAAACATTTCAATGATTAGTGAATATGTAAGTTTAAATGGCATACAGAAACTTAAATAAACATTTGTATTTCACCGAATAAGATTCTACCGCTACAAGTATATCCACAGAAGTGTGCGGTAGTGGTATGTTTCCCTTGTATGCTAATCTATCCAAACAAATGGTTGGAAACAATTGGTGACATGGCTCAAAATCGTTCTCAGTGGCGCAGATGCATCCACTCCTTGTGACTTATGATTTCCGATGAAACTGTTTTGTTCTTCGCTGTTACTACTCCTTTGTCTCACACCTCTGTTTACTGTCTATATTATGCATTTCTTCTACTTCCTTCTCTTGCTTTGCGTGCTACATAGATTGTGGCGACTTGAACTGCCGCACATATGTGCAAAGTTCTATGTCGAAAACAGACAGACAGACAGACAGACAGATCCAAAAATAACAAAATGAACTGTAGTTTCGATTTACAGGATGGTTTATATTTTGTGTAAAATTAGGAACATTTTTGTGCATATAACGACACAAAGTTACATTTTCATTCATTTAAAGAAATAGACACTTCATATTGTGTAAGTGTAGGTCAAGAAAAATAAATGAGGAATAATGAAACAGCAACGTAGAAAAATATAGATAGAGTAGAAAAAGCAATAAACATGGAATGATGATTACACTCAGACGGTGTTTAATGTCTACAGTTACACACCATTACACCATAAGTATAAGCGTAGAAGAAAAAAAATATTACTTTGAAAATGAATTGAAAATAACGCCATGCATGCTGCAATAATCCGTAATCAATGTAACACTTTACTAAAGTACTAGAAAGTCTGAAAAACTGGCTTAAACTAAAGAAATTTCCCTATATAGCATATCGTATATATATTATACATCTATCCGATGAGACAAAATGTTATTATGACTAACAATCCTAAGGGTGAATGTTGGAGCGAAGTTCACACATGTCTGCTGTGTAACCGTACATAGCGCGTAATACAGGTGAAGGTTAGCCAAGATCAAACTTTCTATGTGCTCTATTTTAGAATAGAATGCGATATGAAAGCGAACTTACGATACGCTATATTTAAATGGCATTTATTGTGATAATTAAGTTTCAAATTGCGGTTATTAAATTCGAAACCTTCTCTCCATCTATTTTAGTTTGACCAACTAAACAGCACCATAAAGTGTCTGTCACATACTCTGAATATGGATCATAGAATAGTAGTGCATAAACAGGCATAGTGAAACACAGTTGCTTTTACTTTACCATTATCACTGTTAGTTCACATATATAATGAGCTACTAAGTTCATCTGTCAAAACCAAGATAAGGGTTTCCAACTGGAATACAAGAATTAACTGTAATTTCAATGAAGCATAAATGAAAACTCAACCTCGTCTAGATTACTAGCTCACCAGTATGGACTAGTATGGATTGGACACTCACTGAAGAGGCCGTTGGGTGAAATCGAGCGTCAGGCCAAAGCTCGAGTGGAACCCGAAAGGGAAGCGACGAGTGGGACGTCCAAGGGTGACATGGAGGAGATCGTGTGAAGAGGAGTTGAAACAGTATGGACTAACATGGATGCAGGTGAAAAGTATAGCAGAAGATAGAAACAAGTGGAGGCGTGCAGTTGAAGCCCTATGTTCCACTAGGAACTCAAGGGAACAATAATAATAATAATAAATGAAAACTCTCACTGAAAAAATCCTGGGTAGTAGTTACATAGCACGTAGTCATATAGCACAGAACAATTGGAGTTATAAAAGAAATTTAAAAAACACTTTTGTACAGATGGAATAGCATAAATTACTATCAACAAGTAACAGAAGTAAGTTAAACTATGATACGTATATAAACGAGCATTCCCTGTCATTTGAAGCAATACAGAAAAGGCTATTTGTCCAAGATAGGTGTGATGTGCTCCTGCTTACAAATTATAATTAGTAATTAGTTTTAATGGAAAAAATAGAAATAAAGGATAGTGTGAAGAGAGTAAAAAGTATGATGCAGTAATGATACTTCTTTTACACACACACACACATACAAAGGTTTGACATCAATAGTTTTTCAATGGGTACATCGCTATATATGGTGAGTAAATGAAAATACTATAAGTAATGCATTATGGCGCATGAACAATAGCTAAAATAATAAAGGGATTAAGAGAAACAAATGAGTAGGCGATTACAAATCAATGATAAAAACAATGACAAAAAGCGTCAAATGTTATTTTAAATACAGAGAAACGAAAAGAATTCACATTTTTATAGCTTCATAATTTAGTCTATAAAGAGAAAAGAAAAACCAAACAGTAAAATGAATTGATGAGGAGTCGAGACAGTCACAGAGAGAGAGAGAGAGACACCAGAGAGATTAAACTTAACTGTATAAGAATATTAAAGGAATGGTATTGCTACGAAGATTACAAATTGTTGAAGAATACACACACACCATTCATAACTTTATAGTCGTAAATATCTTATTCTTTTTTAAGTTATATCAATATTAGTCAAAAGAAAATCTATCATATATAAGCGACACACACAGAACAACAAAAAAGTTTACTGATTTTAATTGTGCATGAAAATAATGACTTGAATTTTGTGATGTGTTTTATTAAAAGTATTAGTCATTTTCAAGAAAGAGATACTAGCAGACCATTGAGACGAATTGATCAATACACTGATTCTTTTGTCGCAGTCTATGTAAGACAGATTTCAACTTAAAAACAAGCAATTATAAAATGAGTCTGTCTTACTATCATAAATATGGATAAGTATGTTTCTTTGGTTGCAAAGATACTCATAACACTGTACGTTTCGGATAACAACACGGTAATTTTTACTAAGAGCCTTAAATAATGCTTCCACCACTGTGGACTATCTGGCCACACTTAATCATATAGTAGGAAGTTTAGATTACTTGCCAACTAAACATGTTTCTTACTGTCACTCAGAATTAAGTGTTTGTTAAACACATCACTATTTCAAATAATTCTCAGATCTTAATGTAACGACAGTGACACTTGCGGGTTAATTAGCTCTGAGAAATACAGTATTGAACGAAAAAAAGCGACAACCAGCATCATTCACAAGAAGGAAGACCAATCAACAGTTGCTTTCAGTTATTTAATTCAATTTTAGATTTGTCCGTCGATTGATTGGACCGAAGTGCTGGGTCTCAGGTTGACATGACGGCTTCTTGTATAGATGCTTCGATGTCTGGGCATGCAATTAGAAGATAACTGGTGGATGATAACTAGCAAGTGTTGATTTGCAGGGATTTGATTGACTACAGGATCGATCACGAGCTGACATCAGTTAGAGAACCATTGGAAAGCCTGGAAGTACTGAACAGCTGTTTCGTCCTAGTTTAGGACTCTTCTTCGGCACGCACCCACCTGGGGTTCTAGTGAGAAGTTGTAACTAGAGGGGTCCACCAAGTCAGATAAGAGGACATTTACTCGCCAGTTATATTGGTTGGCAGTTTCGCTAAATGTATATCACAAATTTGCAGATGTCGGAATCCATGGACCATTGGGTAAGGTTCCAGTGGCCTAATGGTCCACAAGCATACCTCGTAAGCGAATGGTACTTGGTTCGAACCTCGGTGGGTGCGTACTGATGAAGAGTAGAAAACTGGAGCGAAACAACTGTCCAGTATCCCTAAGTGTTCCGATGGTTCTCTTTACTGATGTCAACTCGTGATCAATCCTATCTTCTACTCAATTTTAAAACAGAATGAAAATGTACATGTTTATGTTATGTTGTTGTTCCGTAGTTAAATATAAATGATAAAAAAGAGATCTATTTCAACCAAATAAACTAAAAGACAACTGTTTCTCATTATGAGAATATTCTCAATTTTAAATGAGACAAGTCTGTGCTTATTTACATTACATGTTTGGTGGGTACTTTTTCATTAGTACGATAAACAAACATGACTGATAAATAATCTCTACAAATGAAGTTCTCTTGATAAATTATATTAATGCAATAGCGTAGAACTAGTCTAATATTGGATACAAACTAAACTGTCAACAGAAAGACAATATGACATCCTAAGAGTAAATGAACATGGTTACCATGACAGAATGCATATTCCCATTAAATGTATTTATTTCATAAATCATATAGAGTATTACCTACCAGATGACGTTTAGGATACAATTTATTGTTCATAATTATATCACACAACTACACATTTATATGACTCAACGTTTGTGCACATGACATTAAGAAAACTAAATGGTCACAATTATATACAGCAGACTATTTCACTACCATGATGGTGTCCAAAGCAAAACAGAGAGTATATTTTAGACTAGTGAAAGTACAAATTTCACTTGAGTAACTTATTTCACGCTCACTAAAAGTTAAAATTGTTCAGGAACTGCTGCCTGAATATATCTGAACCCGAATGAGTAATAACAGTTTCCCCAACATGAGACCTGAAACTAGCATCTATCAAATAAAATATCAAAGCATCATCCACCAGACTAAACAGTCACCTATTCGAACACCTGGTACGACTTAGTGATATACTTGCAACTACCTATGAATACAGATGTAAAAATAAATAATACTGTAAAATTATAATTATGATATGAATATTAAGCCTAAGAAGTCACACTAATTTATCTATAGGCAGTATGGTGAATCATGTTTTTTATTCACTACTACAGTGTTCAAGAGGAATTCCTTTGAGAACTATGTTATACTTCTACTCTTATTAAAGTTTGTCTATATACAGAGTTACTTAGTCATACTTTGAATATGAATACAAACATCTGACAATGAATAGCCTATGTTTCAACAGACTTTTACAGCAATCATATTAGTAAATACTCTTAACCACAAATCACATGTACAACTGGATAAAATGTCATTTAAATATATGGAGTGATTACTACTTTCTCTCACATGAAATCTAACAGAACACCTAATATACAAACTTCTAATTTTATTTTTTTTAAATACATTTCAATTTCCAACTAATTTTATCGAAAATATTGATTATCATGCAATGGAAAGTGTTCATTTTGATAATTTATGAAAGTATGTATTAAAAAAAAAAAAGAGAGGTGACTATCCGTCAAAAAAACGATAATCATTAAGTACAAGAATTAGGACTAAATTGATAAGAAGAGAACTAAAAAATTGATGTAAAGTAATGCAGTCTACTCACAGAAGAGATTCAAACTAAGGTGCATTATACATATATACATATATATATATAATATATATATATATATATATTAGTATAGGTGAACGTATCCACAGTAATACAATACTGCATTTTCATATTTATACTACAAATTATGATTAAGGATGAAATACCCAACAATCTAATTCGCTGGAAATAAAGCAGAACAGAAACAATACGTTCAAACGATGAACCATGCAAATTATGCATTGATTCTATCAACGGACAAAAACAGCTAAGAGACTCAAAAGACATTGAATAAGCTTATTCAGTGGATGGCAATCAAACCTCTACCTCAACTTTATACACTTTGAGAAGGCCTTCGACAGCGTTGGCCGCGAAGTAATTTGGAAACTACTCAAGTACTACGGCGTACCCCAAATATTCATCAACCTTATTCAACAGCTGTAAAACAACGGCACATGTCAAGTGATCCACAACGGAAAACTCAGCGAGGCTTTTGGAGTAAACACAGGAGTCAGACAAGGGTGCTTATTATCACCAATGATATTCCTAATTGTGGTGGACTGGATTATGCGTCAGACAGTGGGGAACGAGAAGACAGGGATATCCTGGACCGACGTGAAGAACCTAGAAGACCTGGATTTCGCGCGTGGATGATTTATGTTTGATGTCACACAAAATCGAAGACTTACAAGCGAAAACCGACAAACTGGGCGAAGAAGCAGCAGACAGGACTGTAGGTGAACATAGACAAGACGGAGGTTATGAAAATAACCAGCCAACAACAACAACAGTGGCAGCAACATCCAGCGCCAATCACCACCAACGGGAGGGATTTGAAAGAGGTTACTTCTTTCACTTATCTAGGGAGCATTGTCTCAACTACAGGAGGAACGGACGAGGATGTCAAATCGAGAATCGGGAAGGCGAGAAACACATTCATCAACCTGAAACCAATCTGGAAATCTTCGTCTCTCAGCATCAACAACAAAATTCGGATTTTCAATACAAACGTCAAGTCAGTTCTTCTATACGGATCAGAAACTTGGCGGGTCACCAAGAATATTTCCAACAGGTTGCAGACTTCGTTCTATACTCAAGATCAGATGGCCGGAAAGAATCACCAACAAGAAACTATGGGAACAAACGAAACAAGAACCAATCGCCCAACAAATATGCAGGAGGAAGTGGAGATGGATTGGACACTCGCTGAGGAGGCCGTTGGGTGACATCGCGCGTCAGGCCCTCGAGTGGAACCCGAAAGGGAAGCGGAGAGTGGGACGTCCAAGGGTGACATGGAGGAGATCGTGTGAAGAGGAGTTGAAACAGCATGGACTAACATGGATGCAAGTGAAAAGTACAGCACAAGACAGAAGCAAGTGGAGGCGTGCAGTTGAAGCCCTATGTTCCACTAGGAACCCAAGGGAACAATAATAATAATAAAAATTCAGTGGATTTAGATGCATAAAACTGCCAAAGGTGGGTAAATCCAATATTGAGAATATATATATATGCACAATACTTACTTTGGTGACATCATCTGTTTGCGTTGATACCACTTCTTGGCTAAATGAAAGATAAGAAGAAGAGGACCATTAAAAAACAGGTAACACATTTTCATGAGGAGCGATAGAAAAAGAAAAAAAATATTATGTACTCTCTCCAAAATGTGAGTCACCTTTGAACAGAATTAATGCCATTAAATAACTGAACAAGTTAAGTGAATATAAGAGCTAAAGTCTACAGGCTGACTGCTTATAATTCGATGTAGTGTGATACAACTCCGTTGTGAATGGTAATTTGTATTCGTTATATTCTGATAAAGTTATAAAAATGAGGTTTTCATGCTTCACAAGATAAAAAAAAGTTGGACATTTGCTTGCTTATACCTAATCTGACAATATTAAAAATGTATTCCTATTCATAAATAGATGATTTATATACGGATTACTTGACGCTTGATGAATAAGCTGAGTAGCAGTATTCATCTCTACGGAATAGCAAATACTAGAAAATAACTGAATAGCCAATTTTACGGTATGTTTACTTTCTCAATCATCAAAAAAGAGTTCACCTTTTGTCTGGTGATTTATTCAACCTTGATTCTTCTTCCTCCTCGTGTTTCTCTGTTAAAATTTTTGCAATACGCGAATTAGGCGGATCTTTTTCTCTAGCTAAAACAAAACTGAATATTAAAAGAAAAGAACAGAAACCAGACTATTACGATTTATACACAATAGGAAAAGAGAAAATGAGAGTTGGTCAGGGAAAGGAAAGTGAGTGTATTGACAGTTTGCATAATACGAATTAACAAACATATCAATCTCATATATATATATATATATATATATATATATATATATATATACGAAGTGAACATATATCCACAATATACTATTGTTAACTAGGGAAATCAACAAATTCGCTTCAGACTGAGTTGAAAAGAAAAATAAAATTCATTGGATATGTGGAGGTCTAATCAGTCTTAACATAAACTTCCACATAAATCGACATTCATCAAAGAAACCATTATTAATTAACCAAACAGAATTGGATCGATCATGATTACACGCTGGACCGTCCAGTGCCATCTAAAAGAGATCACACAAGAGCCTGAGACAAGTTACGCCTGACACAATAGACTAGAAATCCCTATTGCATGATACCCACATTCTTATGGTGAACGAAAAAGGTTTGTTGTTATTCACTTCCACTGGTGTGTAGCTGTATTTACATACGACTTGATGGAATCCACCACTTACGTACTTTCCATATAAGCTTGTCGCAAAATTATACAAGAGAGACAAGATCTCTACCTTTGTTGAAATCAAATCAGTTAGTCTAATGATCAATGAAGCGTCGTTTCGGTTTACAGAGTATAAAACATCTGAAGTCAAACGAAGAAAGTAGGTTTCTTAACTTACAAAAACAAAACTAAGCAATAGTGTTATATTACTAAGTGAAAAAAAGACTAACAAATTACAATCAAGTGACTGAATATGCTTGTAAAACTGTCTCGTAACTTGAAGGTCCTCAGTTTAGTTGCCGATTAGTTAGTGAATAAGCACTGTTGACAGGTCTTATACTAGGATAAAGCAGATACCTAATGTTTCTCAGTTTTCAATGGTTTTGTAGGTGTAATTGGTTCATGTCGAAGTCTCCATGAAACGAACATTTGAAAAAGCATATATATATATGGACATAACCCAGTTGTTAAAAGTCGAGCACATAGACCAGTGAGCTACAGAACCGCAAACGTAGAGTAACATGCGACAATCAATACAGTAGTTCTGATAACTAGGAAATTAAAGCTGATTAATCTGATTTAAACATTTCATATTGGTTATACTTACTGAATAATATCTCCAGTACTTTGAAGCACCTGAGCGGCGAACTGCTGTGAAACACCAACCAGACTATGACCATCTACTTGAACAATTTGATCGTAAACTTGTATGCTGGCGTAATGTGCAACAAAATATACAATGAATAATTAAGTTAATTAGTAATACATTTAAGGGGAAGAAAACATTGAGATTAAAGGAAACATGGCGTATTATACAACAAATATACATCAAAATGAATAAAACAATTAGACTGTGAAATTGGTACTATTATTATCCAGATTTTGGAAAGTTCTCACTAATCTTAGCTCGATTATTTCTCTCTCGCATACACTTCGTTTACTGTAAATTCACTAAATTTCTTTCCTTTACTCATTTATGTGTTTTTCTGAAGTGTAGCAACCTAAAATGCTGCAATTTTATGCAAGACTCTATGTTGGTTAGTAGATATTTCTTAAAAATATTATTGCCATTAGGATGGCAAATTTATTTGGTTTTATGAGTGTTATTCAAGATTTTAAAGTGTATATATTAAAATCTGCTGAAGCTCTGTTCGCTTTTCTCCATTGTAGGTAAAGATGATGTGCAGAGGCGATCACATTTATTCACATATATCTTAGTTGTAACCATACAATGTATTCAACAAACCAACAAGCATGGAGATGAAGAACATAAAGTTTAAATGATTTGAAAAATAATCATAATTTATATCATGAACAACTGAATTAGGAAGAATAACTGAGTAACTCTATGCACTTTAATGTGATTGACGTCTCGGTAGATGCGAGGAAGATTTGAACCCCTTGAACTGCTTGATTGAAAGGAGAGGACAGACACTATATAAAGAGGGTTACACTTACACATAAGTGAGACGAGTAAATTGTACAAAAAGGTCCTCAACGTATACACATACAAGTAAGATGTATTGAATAAAGCAAGAACAACAGTTTATGCAGAATAATATGGTAACATCATTTATTTCGTTGGCTTCTCATCAGCTGCTTACAGCCCAAATAAATTACTAAGTTCATATACAGAAAACATTTAACATACTTGCAGATTTTACATGATATCAGTTGACAGAAGGTTTCCAACTTAATGAACAGCGCTCAGAATATTACGTTCATATAGTTTTACACAGGGAGTTCAGGTTCAAACAAAGTGAATGTATACATACAATGGTAAGGGAATTATGTAATAAAGATGAACGGTGTGTAAGACGATGGGTAACAGTGTCCTGAGTTTAACTCAAACCACAGAAACAAGAGACAAGCAAAATTACACTATATCAAAAGTGGGAGTGAGATTAAAGCCACATAACGTAATCAAATGAAAGAGAGAATAAAGAAATCTCGTTGCCAGTACAAAGAAAGACTGATAACTGCTTCTTTATGAACACATAAATCAGATTTCAGGGATTTGATAGAGATTGCTTCGGAAAACTTGAGGAGAATTAAGCTTTTTTGTCTATTCATAATTTTAAAGGATTATGCGATTTCCACCTCATAACCTGTATCAAGGAGATACCTGATTACGACACCATTGTAAGCGTTTTTCCCTTGAAACGTAAGCCTTTCGGTACGTGTTCAGAAAATTGGAAGTGTACTTCTCTTTCTGTTCTCTCAATGTAACTGCTCGCCGAGATACACGCAAATTTGTATACACAGTTGGAGTTAAAATGAGAAGGGTATCTGTTGACTTTTGATTGCACCAAAGAACATGTTGTCCGATAAAGGGGAACCAACTTAACTACATGACAGGCTCTGGCTACTGACGTACTCAATCTTCTGTTGACTATTGCTGCAATATTTCCACCTTTAGAATCGAGTTGAATGAAGACAGGCTTTTTCCCACTGTGATTTATTTAACATTTGAGCCTTCACTTCTTCCTTATTTTTTAATGATTCTGTGAGGGTAAGCATTGTTTGTATGTGTGTATTTATTGATAAATTCCTCAAATTAAAAAACAATAGAAGCTGTGCAAAAGTTAGACTACAAATATTTAAAAAAGTGATAAATTCATTATTGACTAGTTATTATTCTGAGAGAGAGGAATATATGCGTACAAGAATAACATTCATAATATAGTGCAAATCTATATTCCATTTAGAGTTGCACACAGTCAATTATTTTAAGGAGATGAGTAGTATTCATGGTAAGGAAAGAGTTACCTATTTTGTTCATGTATATACGATATGCATAAAATGCGTCATATATCAACAAAATAAAGTAATTTAAATGGAAAGAAAAACAAACCAAATGTTGAAAAACATGCCAAAAGAAAGTATGAATGAATGAATGACTAAGTTGGATAGGATGAGTAAAGACCATCGAAAACACACACACATATGATAACTTGACATGCAATAAGGTGAATGGACCAATAGAAAAATATTAAATGACAGGTAGAAAAAATAAAAATAGATGAAAAGTGGAAAGTCTTTATTTTAAAAAGGAAAACAAAAAAGAAACAGAAATTAATGACAAATGTACACGTGAAGACATGCAAAATTATCAACTGGAAAATCAAATAAAAGTGTGTGAAAATGTATTTGTTAGGTTTAAAAATGTGAATAAAAGGCTAAATAACTTAACACCTTAGGTTGACACATAAAAATACTTCCTACAGAAAAGGATTTAACTACTACTACTACTAACAAATTCTCAACATATAACTGACTTTGTTGTTTTTCTTATTGACATTAACAAACTTACCGTCCATCAGCCTCTGCAGCTCCTCCTGTAGTAAGTGATTTAATAAATATACTCAACTTTTGTTCACCTGATGATGTGTCAACTCCTGAACCAACTATGCTAATACCAAGACCATTTGCACCTTTTAAGAAATACAAAAAGAATTTATGTACAAAAATTAGTATACGCATTAGCATGCACTCAAAAAAGTAATAATTGCTTATATTTAAAAGTACTACGTAGTGTGATTACGTAAAGTGAAATAGTATAGATAATAAAATTGTAGTCTGTCATAGAGAGAAGGATTGTAGCTTCCTAATTTACGATTGGTGTAGAACTCAACAATTGTTTGCACTTAAACTATTAAATGACAATTTATGCATTAACATATATATGCAGCACTGATAAAAATGTGTACTTAATGTTTTCTGTTAACAACTTTTGCTGTATGTGTGGATTTAGAAAATGAAACTGAAAAGCATCACAGTTATCTCATCTCAATTCTACTCAATCAGTGCACAATTCAGAGGTAAATATAAGTGCTACCTGAATTCCAGCAACCTATGTGAAAGTTCAGTTTGCTATTATTAGATGGAGAAAATGATTTTGGTAAAACAAGTTATCAACATAATAACAATAAAATTCACACCAAATATAGAAGCAGAACGTTTGAATTATATTAGCCGTAATCGCATATTTATTTGATGAAGTGTGCAGCAATCCGATGCTGTTCAGATTTCATTGAATACCTATATAAGCATAATAAATCAAGGTAAGTAAACAGATGTAAATAAGTAATTAGGCGCACATTCATACACTTAGCCACATCGATAAATCGAGGACTGAGGATACCGTCTATCGGCAGACTGAACATGGATCGCACCTCTGGTCCCCTAGTGGCTACATTAAAACTGATGAGTCACAGATCTACACTTTATCCAATTAACATATCCCACGTAAAAGAAAGATTTATTTTAAATAAACATAATGGATACAGTGTTGTTGGAAAAAACCTCACGCTATTCCAATTAATACTCCCCACTAATTGGGAAATCGTAGATAATATAATGTGGAGTTGATACACTAACCACAATGAGTATCAAACACGACGAGACAGATGTACGAATGTATATTTCGATAGTCATACAACGAAGATGATGAAGAAGAAGAAGGAGAAGAATAAACATCACTTCTGAGAGTCAACATACGTTTCTTAAAGCATAACAAAACCACAATAATATCAGAAGACAGCATAAGCTTGTTGGTTATTATGTGTGTGATCTTCGACAGTGCAGGGTAGTATGTACTTCCTTAATCATAATCATATGAACAATAAATTATGCTCAAAGCGTCATTCAGTAAATCCTACTATTTCACTGTGTGATTTATTCATTATTAAAACACACAAGTATGGAATTAAGCTTGGTGGTTGTATGCATCCCAATTTAATGCTCAGTCATAAATAAAGACGACATACATTTTAACAGTTACAAGAAGGGACTTAAAAAATAAAATGATAAACCTAGGATTATAAACAAAAATTTACGAATCTGACTCGTTTTTTGCAAGTGTATTGTAACACACATATTTTGTGAATACTGGTAGCACATTTGTCTATCAGGAAGAATACAGCTAGTCTATATTCAGTCTGTTTAAATTAAACAAACTGTATCTCTCCTACTCACCAATCAGATCACAAATGATTACAAACAGTAAGTAGAAATTAGACAATACTTAATGGTTACTTTATTCTTATATTGGTGTGTGAGCCAAATACCACAGTGAAACAGTTGGACAATGATTAATATTCAACAATCAATACAGTGTCTCTTATTTAATTGTAATGATGTCTAATGAATTCACAAAGCTACAACCATACTAAACAAATTTTAGAATGCCCTAGAAACAACAAAAGGTCGTGGACTTATCAATAAATATTAATTCAGCTTCATTGAACTTCCCTTTCACATAGATAATTGTTTTAGCTTCAGTATTAAAAATAACTATGAGGTCAAACATTCCTATCCCAAAAGACAGATTAAATTCACTGAATATGACCTTGGATGTGAAGAATGTCCAAAAGAATAAAATTTTAAAAAATATTGACCAACAAAACTTGGATGAATCTAGAGAGAATATAAAATTAGTCTGAAAAAAGTAAACAAACCTTTGTGAAAATCAATTTCAAACATTTCCATATCTTCAAGATGCTTTTCTAATTCATATTCTGCTGAAGCAGATAATGGATCGATTTCTTCATTTCGACGATTGTAATCTGTAGTTGAATGAGTGCTGAACACCTAAAGTTTGCAGTGAAAAAGAACCATTGAAAGAATGCAGGTAATGTTTAGTGAAATAACGTAAAATATGAAAAAAACAACTATTGACTAATAGGCCATAGACGATTCTAGGTATTAACACAATCGCACCTTTTAGATACGGTGTACAATACAGGAAAAATTCACAAAAGAAAATGATGACGGTAAAACATTTCCCAATGTTCATATTTATGAAACTTTACTTACAAGTCAAAATGTTTGGAGGAAAAATCTTTACAACGCAATCAATAAGGTTGATAACGAAGATGTAAAAACTATGACCTGTGAGAAGGCAGTTACTAAACATTATAAAGATAAATTTGTCGCAGAAGGTGAACAATAAAAAATGCAAAAATTACAATTTGTGGTTGAGACTACTTATAATCAGGGTGATTTCTGAAATAAAAACATACGTCACCGAATATCAAAGTTGATAGAATTATTAGTATCTTATTTCAGTTGTGACTTGATTTCCAAAGGATATGATTCAAAGCATAGGTCATTTAGGAGGTGTAGATGACTTCGCTTTTGCTAATTAAAATATCTGTAAAAAAGGTCTATAATATTGAGTTCTCAAATGTTTTAATATAAAATCTTCCGCACTATTCATAAAAATAATTAACAAATCCGTGTGTACACCAAGATAGAAGCCATACTTAATTCATGATGGGTCTACGTATGTGAAGAGAAGTTTAAAGTTCAGAAATAAAGAGCATAAACCACATGGTTACATCACGACCTAACTTTTTGGGTTTTATTAGCTACATCCTTAGGCTACCTACCTAGAGGAAATAAATAGCGCATACTCATCGAATTGTTTCACTTTTGAACATAAATAATCGTATGGTTTATCACTCAAAACCACCTGAATGAAAACACTTTTGAAAGCTAAAAACAACTCTGTGTATCAGTGTTGGTGAAAACTGAATGAGCAACACATATGGCTTGTTTATTGGAACTGATCTCCAATCGGCTGGATAAAGCGATAGCAGCTGTTGTCTAATCGTACGCTGGTTGGTAGAACACTGGAGAAAAACGATCAGAAGTATTATTGTGATTTATGTTGACGGTTATTCATAGACTTTGTACTTTGTAACCAATCCTGTTGTTCTGGTTCTTTGTCTGCGGAGAAATAAACGATCCTCATATTGCCAATCCGTTTTCTGATATTTTCACGTCGATTAAAGTATATAGTATTTTGAGGCCCCAATTAGTCTTCTGGAATCAGCGCTAGGTTCAGGATCTTTTTCGCTCTAGACATTTAACAGTTTCTGATTTTGCTCCATGACACTGTGCTTATCATAAAATTAAATCGTCCACCATGTAATTCGAAATCCTTTCAATGCCATTGAAAGTAGTGAGGTGTTTGTTGAAGAGAATGAGAAATTTCGATTACTAATCACCTAACTACATTTCAAAACGCCACCTTTAAGGTGATCATAATATACTGTGTGGTTGGTGGTCAAAATTCTACATTCTTTTAAACAACACTCAAGTTATAATGAGATGTTAAAGACACATATGTTACTAGCTGATATGAGCAGGAAACAATTCTCTTTTGCACTACATACTAACGAACTTCGAAGACAAGAAAACTCTTTCGCTTTGTTCCTGAGTGAATCACTTGAAACACTCGAATTCTTAACATCACTCGAAATCTTAGGTGGCTGCTGAAGCAGATTAAAATGCAGAATAATAGCCAGCTCTCTGAAAGTGAATTTCTTTTAGAAAATCAAAGAATGAAGACTACAATGGGAAATATAATAAGTGGGCTGGCTGTGAATTTTCAATATAAAGTAAAGTTAGAGTCTAATAATATACATACTGCCAATCGGTTTCAGTATTTTGAGACCATTTGTACCCAACACGGATTAAGATAATCTAAAAGTTTAATGAGTAGTCGTCTGAACGATTTCCTGATTGATTCAGTCTCTTTTGCTTTATGTGTACTGCTAGTAATTCAGTACAAAAAGCCAGATTTAAAAACTATCAAGACAGCTGGAATGACGTTAGAAAGAAGTTGCCATACGGAAAGCTAATTCAAAAACGACTGGTGAAATCGGTCTAAAAAGAATCAAAAAAAAGAAACTTTTAAGGATTTGGGGTACCTCAGTATGATTCTAGTGATTGCGAACGATACATTTTAATCATAATCTAACTCTATTCGTTAAAAAAGTATTTGTGAATAAACGATCGATAATCTAATATGCTGTGACTTTTACGTATTAAGTGAAAAAATTTCAGATTGAAATTCATGTCTGCAGTGAATTATCGTAGCATACATCACGCTTGATTTTCAAACAATGTGATGTACTCATATTTGCATGTACGCATACGAAAAGCGTATTATGCGGCATAGTGTTTAAAATGTTAAATTCTAGATGTCAATGAAATGTGTTCAAAAACAAGACAAAAAATTGATATATTCTTATTACTGCAAGGAATGATTGCAATATCTTACTAGTAAGTTGAGTGTGTACACATAATGTTAGCACATACACGAGCGCACACAAGCACAGAAACCTAAGAGCATACCTATACTACACTTTATTTGTCACATGTGCATATATTTATCACAAAATGTTTACAATTAATAACCAAGATCTAAACAAATGTTACATGCAACAGGTAGCTTGCAAAACACAACAAAAAAGACTGTATCATTGTTATTACACTATCACACCTAACTATTTAGCATTATATTCAACATACCATAACGATTAACAGGTATTTAACATAAAGGAGATATCGGTTTATAGGGTAAATGAACAGTTTTGCACAAGAGACACAAAATGCAAATGTTGCTACTTAATACGTGCACACATTTTCTAGAAAAGGACTTTTACACTGCCGTTGATAAAAAAGAAAATTGTATGGTTATCAAAACCTAGTAGACTGGACAGGGGCTACAAGAGGCCACATCACTGATGTGGTCCATATTGAAATACAAAACTTGTATAATTTTCTTAGAGCGCATTATTTGTGAAACCTTAATCACTAATTACAGCCTCACATTTAGTTAGATAATAGAGTTGACACATCACTAATTGGGAAGGATAAATAACTTAGCAACCATATCACAGATGGGTTTTATTGCTCGGATATGAATAGATCCGAGCAATAAAACCCATCTGTGATAGGTCTAATGATACTGCCTGACTATCGCTCAAACTTTTGTATGTGAAGTGGGATCCGAATCCATGACCGCTAGTTTAATAATAATAATAATAATAATAATAATAATAATAATAAAGCAATGCCACAACACCTATGACACCCTCTACCCGGTTATGTCACATCGAACCAATCTACCAATAAACAGAACTAATTTACGTTGCACTAAGTCTTAAAGCAGGTGAAGCGTGACTGGTCGAATTTGACATCATGGACATTATGTTCAGACCGATGAAGCCTAATTAAAACATAGTGACAATTTTGTCGTAGATTGACATCAGGTAGATAATCACTTAAAATTAAGAGAGGTAAAATAGTTTTTGTGTACTCTGTTGGAAAAACGCAACAACTGCAATCTGACTGTGATTACTAGTGATAACTGCCTTCCAATGCGTCCATTATGCAAGTGTAACCTTATTTTTACTACCATTGAGGAGCATGCTTGACACTGACTGAAATTATTAATGATGGATTTTGCGTAATGACGCCCAAGTGCAGTCAAACACCATTAAAAAGAGATTGTAGTATGTAACAACATGACCCTACTCTAGAGAATGGAATATATATTTCCCTAAGATAAACTACAATGCAATGTACTGCGATTAATGATGACGGTTGTTACATCTGATAGTTTGACTTATTTACACACTCACAGTGCTGACAACCGATTCGAAGAGGAGAAGTTTAACAACTCTTCTGATTGATCCACAAACTTGAAGTTATAGACTAATTTTTTAAAAAGTTATAAATAGTCGAGTAGGACACTTAATCCATGTACTTGCGCATCTGACTACTAATTTGCTTGATTCATTTCTCATTACACTACAACTGTTGACTACTTTATAGATAAATTTGGCACTTTTCATTGATTGAGCGGAAATAAGACTGATAACATTCATCTCAGGTCACAAACAACTGATTTTAGCATTAGCAGAAGTTTCATGCCGAATCAATAGAATACATCTTAAGATTTCAAAATACAAATGGACAGTGAAGTGCTAAGTAAGCTGCCAACTATATCACTATCATATTTGAAATGACATAATAGTAACAACCATTTCGTTAGGTTGTTTAGGTAACAAGAGACTAAACATTTAAAAATGTCTGAAATGTAACACTTTATTTATTGCAAGTGAATTAAGATATTTCGTCGAATATTTGTGCGTAGAAAAAAGTATACACAATGATTTTATGAATCATGCCATAAGCATAGTAATGTTTCCGAATACCTTTAAGGATAAACGCATAAAATTGAACACTACAGAGTATATAACCACATAATTTGAACTGAATACAATATATGCAATACTCAGCAACCTGAATTTAGGATACAGTGAAATAAATTGCAAACAGACATCAAGTATATCAATCTAAAATGTTTAAATCAACTATACAAGTACGCACACACAAAAGGAGCAGAATTTCAATTTCTCTGTTCCACTTATCACTATAATTATTAACACTGGACGCTAAAACTGTTGCACAGATTAGATAAGTTTGGACTAATGGACGTTAGTAAAACACTGCAAAACAGAAAATAAATGTTGATTGGTAGAACAAAACCAAAACTGTCTTTAAAGTTGATAAATGCAAATGGCGCAGTGAATGCTGTAGGTGAATACCGACTACAGTTCCTGCAATATTTGCTTATACGAAAAGCTTAAGCGACCAAATTACTATGACAACTTTCGATTCTTAATTAAGTGCAATGATTGCTTTGTTTTGGAAGCATAATACCATTCAATAATAATTCTTTTAAAATGACAGAGAAGATTTGTACTTCAGATGGACGATTTTGGTTTAAATGA